GTTCATATAACCTGTACTACGTTATCGCGTTCAACATTTTTTGGTTTCCAATCTGATCCTAGTAGCAGTTGCATGAAGCACGTTTGCATTAGGGCTTTTTATTTCTGGTTCATATAAATTTTATATACAAAGATTAAATAAGTAGTACAGTTATCAGGAAACTTAACTAGAATTTATCAAAAATATTGTAGAGAAGTGGAGAAAATAGAGTCAAGTGATATTAGTATGAGGGTGGTAAGAGAGAAATTAGTAATAATGGGATAATGAATGAAATGTGATAATGCCACTTGTAGCTAAATATATACATTAGCTAAGTCCTGCTATTGGATAGCAAAGAATAAAAAAGTAATTGCAAATGCTGTTTTTCCCATGCCAGGTCTTCTGATGGTCATCATTAGCAATGATATGTAGTCGTTGTTGTTATTGTAAGCAAGTGGTTAGAAAATGCTATCATAGCCGATAGCGAGAGTCGTCCGTATAAGTAGTAGCATTACGCGGCGGTGCTCGGATAGTACTCGTCATTGCATTATATTGCAACTGATCTTCTTCGACACGACTCTGAATCTGGCTATGCTCGATCATTTCGATACTTTGATAATGATGTCTGCTATTGGAATACCCGCTGCTCACTCTTGACACACTTTCCAAATCCAACGACTTCTTTTCTGATGTTTGCATTCTTGATTTTGGTAAGTCACTACTGTTGATTGCTGTAGTGGCGCTGGCGCTCGTCATGCTGCCTCTGCTGTTAAGCCATTTTGACTGTTGTGAAAGAAAGAAAATGGGTGACAGATTGTTAGTTTGGGAAAAAACAGGTTTACTTTCATTAAACCGCATTCTTACCATCCGAGAAAATGAAATGCCGGTGTTTTCACCACCACCAGTGCTGGATGATACCAATCCTGCCAACGTCGCCATGCGTGGGCTGCAAAACAAACATATCAAGTTCAGTAAGTACGTCATGCGTTTCTAAATCGTAGATCAAAAGAACATGCGGGAGCCAGTACATACTTGAGGATCACGGCGAAAATGATGAGACCAGTGGCAATGCTACCATTGAACGTCCAAATCACCGCAAATGTAAGGTTATATGGCATGTAAAGCGATATGGAGACGCGCGAGACGCCGTACAGGACAACCATGATTGCAAACAGGATCAAGCAAAAGAACGCTGTCAGAATGATGATTTTGACTTTGAGTGCGCCCAACGAGAACTTGTTAACGTCTTCGCCAGTTGCACCTGGCTTGTCAATGAAATGGTGTCGTAAGAGTCGTATTAAGCGGAAGCCTGCATAAAGGATCAAAATAGCGAGGGAAGTGGTATAGAATGTCCACAGGTAGTACAGAGCATCGGTAAAATTGGCGGCGAGCACGAAATCACCGCGATCAGCGAACACACCCGCGGCAATTGCGCAAATATTGTTGGTAATATACGGCAGGGTAATGACGGCAACACAAGCTCCATCGATGATGTAGGGTGAGCGGATCCAGTTGTCGTATATCACCTTGCTACTCTGTGTTTTTGTTTTTGTTGTCGTTTCGATAAATAGAAAAGTATTATAGGTGAGAAAATCTTATGCTCACCAGTGCTTTTCTTATTGGGCTGTCACACGACAGGACTTACATTTGAAAGTGTATGTGCTATGCCGAATAGATAGCAGGCCAGTGCACCAAAGGCAAATTGCCATGGGAACTCAAAGAGAACTGCCCAAAAATAGAGAAAAAACACATCAGATTTTGATTGACACAATTAGGATACGCTCTGCTATCACCACTTTACATGAGCGAAACCCAACGTTAGGCGCAGCGTCGAGTACAAGAATGATCGCGTGAACTACCCGTACTACAAGAAAGCTCACAAATTAATTGTTATCCTATTGCTGATGAGCCCTCACTAGTCATCATTTTCGATATGAGCCTTACACAAGTGGAAGACGACGCCCATCACACCCATGCTCTCTATCGGTTTTGGTCTCGGAATTCCCGTTCTGCAGTCAAAAAGTGTTTGTTGGTGATAGTAAACGCGCTGGAATACGATGAATGCAGCTATTATGATATGTTGTTGAGCACATGTAGAAATGTCGGAAAATCAGTTGTTGTTGTTGTTGTTGCAAGAATTGTCAAGTAGACTTTGTTTGGCTTTTTTATTGCTAGTATGTACCAGTGAAAGCAAGCACTGCCGATAAGACGGCGTTAATAATGTATACGATCTTCAGTGCCGATGCTTCTTCACAGTTCGTGATGGTAAGACGCCAGTCGCAGTGGCACACACCGCTATCGCCACATATTCGCCCGAATTCGCTCTGTTCTTCTACATTCATGAGCTGTTCTGGATCGTCGTTTTTAAACCGATGAATCAAAAAGAAAGTAACAAAAAAGGGAGGAGAGAGAAAAGGGAAGAAGAGGACAAAGATGTGACAGTACTTGTGCTAAACCAAATACTAAAGCAGAACGAGATCGTGGGGTGCGATATATATAGCCCTCGTGTCACAATTTCTTTATTTTGCTACAGTGGTTGTCGATTATTCTATGAACTGTTATCACGATTATTCTCGCTTCTGCTGATGTTTAAGATTCAAAGTCCATAAGTATGTTGTTCCGCCTTCTTGTCCTTTTTGAGCGCAAGGGGTAAGCTGTAGCAGCAGTCAGTTAAAGGAGATTATCCTTGAGGAGAAGTAGGCTGCCCACGGGTATGCTGAATGCAGGTGTCAAAATATGTTCTGTTTTTCACACGCGCATAGCGGTTGCTGTACTTGCTCAACTCGAAATAAATGTGGTTTGTAATTTCAGGCAGCCTTTATCTGCCTTCTTACCCGAGACCTCATTTGGTATTGTCGACTACAAAGATCCGCAACCCTTTCTAACAGTAGGTAGCTGTAGTACCACCACGTTTAAGGTTTGTTTTATTATCTAAGCCAAATTTGAACAGTTTCCTTGATTTCGACCTTTTGGATCACAGTCAATTGAAATACAGCACTTTCTGGTTTTATCCCATCGAAAAATCAAAACACTCGCGAGAACCCGCCCACTACCGCCCGCATGAACCCTGCACTTTTCCCTAAACGCTAGAGCGCCTACATTCTCTTTGCTATATTTTGACAATGCTGTACAGAAACTTCGTGCATTTAATGATGTCGGATCACTATTATTGCTTGCATATGATTCAGTGCACCAAGTTATTAAAACAAGGAGGAACTTTTTCAATTCAACCCAGACCCATCCTCTTGCTTAAGTCATGGTCGTCACTACTATAATCTTGAAATGCTGTTCAGCGTAGAGTACATATACCTGCGTCGACCACATAATGTACGTTTCTTAAAAGTATAAATCCGTGGGATCGACGACCCGGAATGTCACTGTCACCATGTTATGGTTCTGTGTTACCGAAAGGATGATCGAATATCAAAAACAGTACATACCCGGAAACCATCATGCAGGTAGTTTACGGTTTTTATGGCACATGCAACCTTTGATACACTATTCATCTCAGCTCGGACCCTTCGCACAACAACACACTTTATCCTGATATGAACGCCAGTAGTGATCCGAATGCGATAACGAAGAAAACGAAAAAACGGGTTGAAGCTTGATGATGGACGAATTTCTGATGACTACAAATTTCTAGTAGTATACCATGAGTGAAAGACGAATAAAGCTTCCATTATGTTCTAGCAAAAGGTTTGTTCTCCACTCTACAATTTAAAATCAATGAAATTATGCCGCTGCTACATACCCCGCGGCGCATATAAGCTTGCAGCAAAGAAAAGGATTTCCATGGTCATCGTCAGTTTGCAGGCAAGATGCCAATATATTGACGAGAAAAGGAAGCATTCGAATCTCCAATAAGGTTGGGTATTTCTCCATCTCGACTACAAAGGGGTTACCGATGCCTCCTAAAAACTAGGAAATGATGATGACAAGACGCATTAATACAGCATCCTCCTTCTTCTAAACAACGCGATTTTTTTTTGGGTAAGATATTGTATTATGTTGCCTAAAAACCAAAGTGAGAGCTTTCCATACACGTGGAAAGATAGCTGCCAAATACAAATCCATGTAACACTGAGAACACCATCAGAGTTTTGCAAAACTGTACGCAAACATCCATGTAATTCATTGAGACCCTTATAGTTGTAACGATCATGCAAACGATAAAGGTATTGAAATTTCCGGATATGCCAACAAAGATATTGGTTACGCATACATATATTTTGAGCGAAGAGTAGGTTCTGATATTGAAGTTGAAAGTTTACTCGCTGAGGACTCTTCCTGATAATCCCAAAGCCTGACAGTGTCGCTACAACAGCAGCTCTCTGCATGTCTGAAAGTCCTACTCGGATCGCTCAAGTTGGATATGTATCGTCCATTGATTCACCCATACAGCAGTGTATATCTCTCTGAAGAGGCGAAGAAATTAGGGGCTTACATAGTAGAAATATAAAGACGCCATTAGCAGCATAAAATTGTGCAGCCTCAAAAAACAAATATGAGCCCCTTGAGTTTGTGATCACGCCAATCACGCCAAGCCTAAGGGCCTTTTCTTCTGGTTATTCATTCTAATAGTAGGTTGCTGGGAGCTTCACGTACAAAGAACGGGATAGTACGGGGAAAAAGGTAAAACTGATGTTCATCCATTTAAAAAAAAGATGAAGACTCTACGCTTGCAAAGCACCGTATAACAATGCTTGTTGTTTTTGCTTGCCCGATTCTATGGAGAGTCGTTCTTGCCGGTCGAGTAAACATTCGATCGTGTATCCCGAGCACCATACAATCATTGAGATGACTCCAGTCACCCACAAAAGCGTTGTGTTTGTAAGCCAAGGGGGAGAGAAAAACATTCTGGCCCACAAGGTTACGTGAGCGAGATCGTCGCCTTCGTCAACATCGCTGCTGTAAACTTGCTGGTGGTGCTGGTGGGGGTGGTCAATAGTAGAAAACATAACAGAAGAAGACCGTTCTGGTAGTGGTAGGCTATCACTTTTTGCGTTGACCGCATAAACAAAACAAAGGAAAAATAATGCAAAGAGCCAATAGCGATCCATTGTCGGTCGTTTTGGTTTTATGTATATTAGTATAAAAAGTAAGAGGAGGAAGAAGAAGAGAAAAGGCTTAACAGATATTCCAGAAACGATCTGATAACGACATAATTTTTTTTATAATCCCTGTGACATTCGTGTAACAATTTCCCCCCGAGTCACAAGAGGCAGAAGATGATAGATCGGGCATCAGCAGGAACGTCAGCCGACAATGGTTCTGTGTAAGTGACATAACAATATGGCTGCTATTAAAACGTTCGTATTTGATGTTTATCGCTATGTCGGAAACATGATCATTTTTTACTCTTCTTCCTTTATGTATCCATCTATACTACTATTATGAGCATCTTATCCTAAAACACCTAAAAAGTGACTTAACTTACGTAATATACTTGTCATCGTATGCATGTGTCCTACTCATGTTCTTCGGCTTGTATATCCATGCGCAGTGATGATGATGAACATTCCAAAAACGCAGATATTATGTAATGACTTTTGCGCCATAGTTTGATTTTCTAAAAAGAGGAATAGATGAGCGTCAGCCTAGTAAAACTACTCAGTTACCAGGTAATTGTATTGATAGTAGCAGATTCTTCGATCGTGAAGCAAGAAGTTGCCATGATTTGGTTGGCTACGATAATCTCAACAAAAGGGCAGTGTAGTAGGCTAAAGTTCGGCACTTAATTTAACCATCCAATATGATGAGCTAGTGCATGTGCTTGTGGTCAACCCCAAGATTGTCGCCTACCTAGCCGTTTCAAAAAAATCACGGAAACGGATTTCGGAAATTACTTTCTCCGAACGGTTAATCATGTAACCGAACCAAAATCCGTTTTTTCAGAAAACAATGCTAATCAAGCAAATAACTATGAAATTACTACTGCTATGTCCGCACGCACACTATATAAAATGACACGCTATGTACTGTAGCCTTTTCTGTTATATTATCTCAACTTCTCTACCTGCATTATGTAGAAAAATGGGTTTTTTTCATGGAACCTTCCATCCCTGGACGGTTAGCATCATTCTCTTGCAGTGTCCATGCTGATAAATCCAACCGGTATTTCTCTCATAATAGTCCATTCATCATCTTGCTGACAATGATAAGCTTTAGCCAATAGCTTGTGATATTTAAAGTCAATCCACATCAATATACAGTAGATTTTTTCACTGATTGGAGCGAAGATAAGCGTGTAGTATCGTGCTGTAAACCAGGCTGTTGTTATACTACACAGCCACTTAGTGCGTAGTATAGTGTCTCTGGTGGCTGACTTGAAATTCCAAAAAAACTGTGGGGGGAAGGAGTTGGAGCGTGGGCCTTACCAAAGTTGAAACCTCTGTTTGATCTTTAGTCACCATGCTGCAACGAAAAGCCACTCCCAGCTATATATACTTACTCCTTGTGGTCGCCTTGCTTTTAGTTCTCAGGATCCAGTCTATAGCACGCCATATTTTAATGTGACATATCAGAACAACCCATCGAGAAACGTGCGGAAAGAAAATCAGTTGCTATACTGGGAATTCTTACGTCTCTTGATAATGCTCAGAGTAGCCGTGATTGCCTTCTTGGATCAAATATATACACTTCTCGTTGGCAGGCGTACATTTAGCCTTAAAAGGAAGAAAAACCACGCTCATTCAGTGTTTTTCTACGTCATATATTCACGTATGTGTGTGTAATTTTTCTAGACTCAAATGGCAGCACAACAGCAACAACAGCAACATCAACAACAGCAACAACAGCACTATCACCATCCAGTACCACCTTCAACGCAGCAAGTGCAGCCTATCCCGCCTGCGACCATGTCATAACAACCACCACCACCAACCAGGTTTACTTTCATCTACCGCTGGTGTTGACCCTCAGCAATAACCACAACAACAGGCAGCCATCACAGATCCTGCTGCTGCATTAAGCCAGTTGGCGTAGATCTTGCAGAGCCAACAACAGCACCAGCAACATCAACAACTGCCATCTTACCCACCGTCTTCGGGTGGATGGAATCCTGACCATACGCCACAGTAATACTGATAAACTGATGAAACAAGACGTAATGTGTTGTTATATATGTGTAGAAATGATATCTTTAACCTTGATGATAAACATGGCATAGAAACGAACAGTGATACTTACGTATATATCTTGTGCTCAGCCGAATTACTCCTGTAGTTAATTACATGTTATGAGACCTCGTCCATAATACAGTTGTCCAGGACCGCTTGTTTCAAGTACGGTGAATTTACACCATCATCATGACGTAGGCGGTTATGGGCTTGTTCATTTATATTTCGGAAGCTAACAGTTTATTATAATCTTCGACACCCCTGACTTGGACTATCTTAAACCTTCGGCATGCGTGCTGCATACGCACAGGCCAACGGTTTATCACACTCAACGTTAAAACTATCCAACAGAAACCGGCAAAGGACGTTCGAAGGGATTCCAACCATGACTACCCACCCATTGCAGCTATCATTCTCAAAAATCATATTCCAAGACCGTCTCATGGATTTACGTTTTGGCCACCCAAAAGGCTATGTAAGCCCCCTAAATGTTACAGCCAACCTTGCCTTATATAAGCTTATTTTTACGTGCCACACTGCATGGACAATGGTCTCTTTCTTTCTATTAAAGTAAAAGGGTGATTCTTTTGTTTGCACGTACAGTAGCTCTTTTTTTATATACAGTGTGTGGCACCAATGATTTAGACTGGGATCGAATGGATTAGTTTAATGATACAATGGGGACACATGTTAGAATGTGTGTATAGTTTTTTTACAATTTATTCGATTACATACACTGCTCGATTGACACATACGTCAGAGAACTGTGACTGATTCTCGGAGCGTGCCATCAGTCCGTCAATAAGTGTGACGCTATCCTTCTATCGCTCATGTATTCCGAAATTCTATTTGACGTTGTATCATTTGCCCTTTAGAAAGAAAGCTCTAAGCCAGCTGGATGTACCTGCTGCTGTATACATGGAGCTACTAATCCAACTAAATGCTATTCGTACTTTTCAAATTGTATAAGCAAAGGTATAAATGTATTTTTATTTTTTTTGTAAATTTTTAAGTTTTTTTTAGAAAAGCATAAACATTGTGACGGGGAAGGGGAAGGGCTACATCAAAACAAAGCACCAAAAATGTGTTAGAGCAGAACAACTAACAAAAGCACGTGAAAAAGAAAAAAGGAAACTTGCCTCTTCTTCCCCGATGTGGCGGCCACTCGTGATGTAGAGCTTGGGGCCGTGGTCTTCTCCGACGACCCTTTCATCCTTGTACTTTCGTACTAGTGCCACTGTTCCTTGCGTGTTGCCGTACTCAATGGAGCATCGGTCTTCAGAATTGAAGCGGTTCCTGTTTGTCATTGATGTTGTTGCCAATATGTCATTGAGAAATTGAGTACATTAATTTTTGGAAGGTGCAAAAGGAGAGAGAAGAACAAGCGATGCGATAATACATACCAGCGTTTGCCAATCCTATTTTTGGCGAATGTAATTACCGAGCTATATATAGTACATGTACTCATATGTGATTAGTGGGAAACTCCACTTGACAATCAGAGCAACGTTAATGTCAGCAGCAGCAGTGAAAAAATATAATGAAGCATTTACCCAACGTTGATGAAGTTCACAAACGCGTATCCAACGTTGCGATTGCGCCTTGAGTCGAAACTCAGAAATAAAAAATCGTACGTTCCCTTGTTGGTAGCGTCGATTTCTTCCTTGAGCATTTGCTAAACCAAGTATGAGATAGAATAAGAGAGAAAAGGTCCGTTAGGGATTTGTCAAAGATTAAGCATAGTATGTAAGCACAGAAGATGGAGATGGATTGCAGTGACAATGAGAGGGTTTGTTGGTGGGGACGAAACCTACCTGGGTGTATTTTCGTGGTATGTTGTTTATCATGAGAGTTGTTCGCGTATCCCCTTTTAATGTTGGAATTTGGGAGCAAAGTACGCAAAGACAGTCGGTTCAGAGAGAGCAAGAGCAAGAGAGACAGAGCTATCAAAAAAAAAAAAGAAGAGGCTCGATCGTGAGTAACCAATAGCACAGTCATCATCATCTTTGACACACACCATGTACACTCTTGCTTCTCTCCTCCATTAAAGCAGTAACCGGGCGAGGCCGAGGAGGAGACGGCTATAGAAATGAAAGAAAGCAAGAGATTTGATCGTGAGTCGTCGTGATACTTCTTGACAGACATGCACACTACCACACGCACGGCCATGCGATGGATCCCGTTTCCCAAGAGTTATACGTACAGTTGGTGACGAGGAGGAGAAGGAGAAAGAGAAGGAGAAAGAAGCGGAAGAGAAGAGGCCAAAGAACTATGGATGGGTGGGTACGCGTACCTTTTATATAAGACTCGTTGTGATCGATTAGATTCTTGGCAATTGCGTGATTTGTCTGTTGTCCAATAGCCAAACGAGCGCATAGGCGATGAGGTCAACATTAAGAAAGAGCACAATGCATGTTTCAGTCAACAGTGCGGCAGAAAAACGATCGTTTTTCATTGACCATTCTACATTATTAGCTATAGTGTCGTCGTTTATTATTCGAGAAATGTGTCAATATTGGCATCATTCTATAGCCACGGCTCTGCTCTACATGAATCTTTCTTTGCTGAATGACGAACATAGTCAGTTTATATGAAAAGGAAGGAAGAAGAGGTCACTGTCGCAACTGACACGAACCAACTGCATGCTTCAGATTCGATTGTTGGAGAAACAAGTTTTAGACACGGTGAAGGGGTACCTGGCATCGTCTTTTTAAGACTAGGCAATTTCCAAAGCAATATTCCGCCGCAATTATCGTCGTAACTGTACATGATATTAGTATCATGTTAAAGCTAAAGACCTGCCCTTTCTTTTGATAACCTATTGCTAATGTGTCATGAATGGATAAAGAATGAACGGGAAGGAGTAAAGAGTTTGTACAGGACTCGTGGGAAGGCAAGTTCCCGATGCATGAATTTTCTGCAATTGCTTCCGCTGCACACAAGTACGGGAAAACATTGACGCGTTTGTTGTATAGAAAATGATCGTGCTAGTTTGTGCGCTGTAGCATGCAAGCCAAAATTAATGAGAGTGTTATCCTCCCAGTAAGGAGGATAAAGGTACCCGACGAAGGGCTATGGTGTCGTATCAAGTCACTGCGCTCAATTTAATGATAACACTGCTCAAAAGAAAGAGTATGTAGCAATTTGAGGTATACTACGCTAATATTTCCCTGGGACAAAAAGACTTTATATAAGCTTAGTTGTATGTCATGGTTGTTGAGGGACCAACCCTAAGCTCCTGCCTCTCAATGTGACACTTGATTATATAGACGTGGAATATCATGCGTAAAAAAGATACATCTCGGATTTTGCGTATGACTATTGCAATTGCGTTACCGTCGACAGTGACGATAATGAAGTCCACCAAGTCATCGCTGAAAGATCAATTCTCTGACACGTCCGTTCTGTATGATTAGTTTCAAAGTTGTAAAAACCAGTTGATGTGGACGTTTTTCCTAAGTACAGCAAGTTGGAATTTTTAATTTTCAAACCCATACTATGTATTTTGGCAATATCATTTTGTGTTTAGTGCGGGTCCGGACTCAGGTCCACAGCATGGCGGGGACCCAATCTTGATATCCAGGAAAAAAAAAAGAATTTTCGAAGCTTCGCCACTTTTCTTTTGTCAGGCACATCTGTCAGATTCCGTTTCCTTCATCTCATTTCCATTCCTCAATAAATCGTTCACTATCTTAACAACATGAGCAGAGGTCGTGGTAGCACTGTTACTCCCGCTAGGAGAAGCACCGCCCGTTTGGCTAATCGCCCGGGCCGTGTGGTGGCGAGTAATGGTGCCTCACCACGTCCTCTTTCTCTCCCTGTCCCTCCCCCTCTACCACAGTATACTTCTTTCATGAGCTCGCAAATGGAGTATCAAGCAGCTGCTGAATCTGCTGCTCGAGCTACATACGAACAAGCACGAGGAAGCCGTCCGCAGAATACAGTTAGATCGTATTCTCCCAGGCAGGAAGAATTTCTCGAGTGGTGCCGAAGACGCTGTCCAAATGATCACACTAACCAGTTGATCGACGACAGAAAGCTTCATCTTTTTCTTGTGGAAGAGGTTAGCCACATATCTGTTCGCAATCTATATATGTACGCATGTCTTACAATTGTGTTCTTTTTAGGTCGTCTTCAGAGAGAAGCGTAAACCTGGAAGAAAGAGAAAAGAGCCAGAGAATTCTGTGCTGTCGCCCGCCTCGTCACCCGCTCCTGCCATGCGTACCACCACCACCACCATGCCATCATCCTCGCCTGCTGCTGTTGTTCTCTCGCCCGCCACCGCCATCATGCCATCATCCTCGTCTGCTGCTGTTCTCTCGCCCGCCACCGCCGTCATGCCATCATCCTCGTCTGCTGCTGTTCTCTCGCCCGCCACCGCCGTCATGCCATCATCCTCGTCTGCTGCTGTTCTCTCGCCCGCCACCGCCGTCATGCCATCATCCTCGTCTGCTGCTGTTCTCTCGCCCGCCACCGCCGTCATGCCATCATCCTCGTCTGCTGCTGTTCTCTCGCCCGCCACCGCCGTCATGCCATCATCGTCGTCTGCTGCTGTTCTCTCGCCCGTCACCACCATCTTGCCATCATCGTCGTCGTCATCATCTGCTGCTCTACCTGTACGCGATGCTCCGGGTTATACCGTTGAGCAACCTGTTGCGCCTGATGCCCCCGCCCCCAAAGTCAAGCTTGCTACCGTTAAACAATACATTACTTCCATTGTCGATCTCCATTTTGAACAAGCCGAAACAGATCCTTGCTTCAATCGTCCGCATCCGCGTGGCCCGCTTGTTCATGCACTGGTTGATCATTTGAAACGTGTGGAAAAGGAGCTTAGTCGACAAAACTACGAAGACAGAGGCATGCGTACGACAGCAGATGGTTATTCGACATCAGCTGAGATGGAGCGTATTGTAGATCATTTTCTGGCCACCAACAAGCAACAAGGACTGCGAAACTGCACTGCTTTTCTTCTGCAACACTATGGACTTCTACGGGGCGAAAGCGTTCGTATGATGGAACTTGCCGATCTACAAACGTTACTTCTTGAGCGCGAGGGTGTCACTGAATGTCATGCGTTGGTGATGGTGCTTAAGCAAGGAAAAACAAACCAAGAGGGCCGTGTGGAGTTTGCTGCTGCGATGCGTAACGCCAATGTTGTTATCTGTCCTTTGATGATGCTTTCCTTTTATCTCTTTCATCGGTGGCACGTTGCTGGTGAGGCATTCCCTTGTTTCCAAAGCAATCGAGATTGGTTCGACATCAAGCTCATCAGAGGCAGAGATCGCAACACGCAGTCCATTACGTATGATCGTCATCGCGAGTGTATTTTAGAAGCATTCAAGTCAGTCGGCATTCACAGTAAAGCGGTCACTCACGCTATGAGGGGTTCGTCAGCACGCATGGCAGAGATATCTGGAACGAGCGAAGAGTCTATCCGGCGATTAGGTCGTTGGAATAATTCTGCTTTATCGACCAGTTATCTAACCAATTTGCCTCGTGATATCTTGCGGACCATGGCAGGATTCACTAGAGAGGCTGGCCAATTCTACTTACCTCGTGCTGCTGTTACACCACCCCTTGAGCTTTGCAAGAAGGTTTTTCCTGAAGTCGATCGGTGGCGGGCGTTGCTGGATGCCAAACAAGTGGAGGACTCGTGCGCGGCTGATTCGTTTTTGCGTCTTCTTGTGCAGTTGCGTGTTGTATTTTTGCAAGATTCGGTTTTGATGAAAAAGCGCTGTCCAGGTCATCATTTGTGGCAAGATCCTTTGTTCCGTGATCCTTTGTATCTTGAATTTGAACGGTATGTGCTGGTGGACTACAGTCTTTCGTTTATATACTAATTATCCTTTTAAAATAGTAACTTGAATCATGCACTTGAAAACAACGAAGAGCCCACTGATCTGTTACTTCAACGTGCCGTGCCGATCATTGAAAATAGACTTGCCATCTTGCAACAACAAATACAACAACAAATCGCTGCTCAGCAACAAGACACCAATCGCATCGTACAATCTTTCTCTAACGCCATACCCACTCTGGAAGCACTTGCGCAGCTTGCACCAAACATGAGTCGTATAGGAGATATTGTACAGCATTGGGACCGCATCGCCAGCGGACAAGTGTCCTTGAGCGTCACGCTCAACTTGGCAGGTCAGCAGCAGCAACAACAACAAGATCAGCAACAACAACAGCAGCAGGAAGGTTGGGGCTCGGTTTCGCTCCCGTCCTCGTCCTCCTCCCTCCCATCCACCATGACAGCAACTGTGGCACTGCCATCAGCAGCACCAGCGCCATCATCATCTTCGTCGTCGTCGTCAGCAGCACCAGCACCAACATCGTCATCATCATCGTCAGCAGCATCAGCACCAACTCATCACCATCATCATCGCCCCCAACAACAACAGCCCATATATCCATCCATGAACCGCACAAACGTCCAAACAATCCCACAATTATGGACTGAATGGTTTGACGGTTGGAATGGCGGCATGTCTGTGATTAGAATGGAAGAAGTGTACAAAACTGCATGGCGAAAAAGTGATTCAGACGGCAAATGGTTTCGTAGAAGACGAGCGATTATTCGGAAAGTTCAAGATTATATCGAAAGAAAAGGAATGCAAGAAAGAGTACCAGAAGCGTTGGACACTATACATAGACACTATCTCGCTGTCGGCATTACCTCATTAGATTCACTATCGAAAGACTTATGTTTTTTTGATACACTTTAAACTTTTTGTATATTCATTTCACCATCTTGTTCTTTTTTTCACTCGCTAGCTTTCCCTTTGACACGCTTTTTTTTTCAACTTTCTAACATTGGCCTTGCTTAGCCATATTTTTTTTATTGTATTACTTTCATGTTGTGGTCTGTTGGCCATGATGGTTTTTGCCTCGCTTTTTTTTTTCTTTTTAACTTTTGCTTGTTTCGTGGCCTTGTTTGGCCCTTTTTTTTTTTCAAAGAATATATAACTTTTGTTTCATGGGCTCACGAGGCCTGTCCTAAAAATGATTGTCAATGGTTTTGAATAGGGAATGCTTATTATAGTACGTTTTCTGAAGCATGATGAAATGCATTTGATAAATTAGTTGCACTTGATGCAGAGCTTAAGATGTAGGAATTAGATTATATATATACACGCAGTACTGGATATGGCTCTAATTTTAGTAATTTAATAATGGACACTCGAGACGACTGTGTATACCACGAACGATACATGGTTAGCAGCATGGCGATAATGTATTACTGGGAACAGAAATATGTTGTTTAAATGAAGGCGATGTAGATTAGTTTTTCTCTCCAAAAATGTTCGTACTGCTGCAGATGTTGCGCTGGTTTTTCGCACCTTCCGCTGTCAAAATGCATTGTGAATACATAAATCTTGAGCAGTTATCAAGGAAGGATAGTCATTAGAACTGCTTATAGTTAGTTCATCGGTCGATAGCGGTTACAAAGTGGTTTTATAATCGTTGCAATGGCAGCAATAAGTTGCTGTTATTCATCAGTCAGGCAAAGAAAGGAACAAGATATGACATGTTCCTACACAACACTAACTATCTCTACCTAGTGTCTGTTACATGTTCAAAGTACAGGAAAGGAGAGAAAACATTGTTAATATCTCAAGCATAGATAGAATAGCGTATACCGTCCAATCCACTGAGTCAATGTGCCATCTATACCAATGCTTTTTGAAAGCTATCAACAAGGTACCTGACGAGACAGAAGAAAGATAGGGTTAGTCTGAAGTGTAGACACTGATGTTGGATCTACGTGTATGTTAGAGTGTAATAGTTTTGCTAACACCATGGCATCCATATCACTGTCATCTAACATTGAAAGTATTGGAGAGATCACTAAAATGTAGGCTCTTTGAGTGGTACAGTTGCTGTATGTAGCTAGCATGATACAAATTACACGACCTAGAGCAGCTCATTCATTAAGAACAGCACGATTTAAAAAACTTATTCTGCAATCTCGGATGACATTAACCTTTCCTTGAATACATGGAATCAATGCCCGGTTCATTTAAAGCATTTTGAAGGTTTTCTGTAATTATTCTAAAGATACCAAGCTCTTCTTTTATTAATAACAAGCAGGTCCACGGCTCTACTTATAAAAACGGTCCCCAACAATTGATATTCGCAGATATCATTCGGTATAACCAATGATATCGCTGGATATCACTGTGGTCCTGCTATCGGGATTTCAAAAAATGGTGGACCCAGGTGGACTTTGGTGGACCTCAAGATTTTATACTTCGTCTTATCCATGTTATTCCATCTATTTGCATCATGGCTCTTCCGCACAAAAATCACACCCGGCAGGGTACAAGCCCTGCCTCACCCCAATCGCCCCCAAAACCGCAAAAACTCGACGTTCCTCGACTTTCATGCGCCAAAGTCATTCAGAAACATCGACAGTCGCTCATGCGACAAGAATCAGAGACTAGAGAATTGCTTGACGATAAAAACAACACCCGCACTACTCGGGTTATCCATTCCAACATCTGGCGTGTTGGTGAATCACCCGCCTCAGCAGACAGTGTCTACTTCGACGTTAGTAGCCGTACCGAACCAATCCCGCGTATTCTTGCCACCATCAACCAGCAGTTCCCCGAGAATTGTGGTGCGCAATCAATCCAAGAAGGCCCTCGCGTTATCATCGAGCTCTACTCTGAGGACCCGGAAGTGATTCAAGCTGCCTTAACCCAAGGACTTCACTTTAAAGACGGCGTTATCATTCTCGCCTGCAACACTCTATCAGGAGATGCCCAGATCAAGAAAGTGCGCCTATCCCATCTCCCCTACAGGAACCACACTGCATTAGTCGCGGGCATTATCAACAGCCTCAGCGTATACGGCAAGGTATTAGACTGCGGCATCTATTGAGACGCCGTGTCCGGCATGTACTTAGGCAATGGCTTCGCGGTGCTGGACCGCCAACCTATACGAGATGAGCAACCTTACTATGACCTCGCACACAGTGTTCAATGGGAAACAACTGAAGACTGCTTCTACGCCACCTGGGCCTCCATGGCTCTACATTGCTCGCGTTGCCACAAACCCGACCACCATGTTCGCATCTGCCCGAAACGCCCTCAGGCATATCGTGCCTGCTGGACCTGCGGACATGTCGGGCACATTTCGGCCGGCTGCCCGGACAACCCCAACAGCTACAAAGGGAAAACTAACAAGCGTCGCCGCAACGCCGACCGTCAGACCAAGAGTACCATCTCTATCACCGCCCAGGCTACAGACAACAGCAAAGTAGTAGCACAGCGTAACACCGATTCTACCGATGTGAGTCATAAGGTCAGCAAGGCTACTGTCGTGCAAGAGCCAGAACACACCACCACGGATCCCTCTGATACTGAAATGCACATATCCGACGAGAGCTCCGTCTCCGATTCCGATTCGCTTTACAACGTGGGTATGATAGTCAAGATTGTCGAGGTCACAAAATTACGCGTTATAGATTCGAAAATTTCAGTATAGGACATGGTCGAACTCAGATCTACGTTGGAATTTCAGCCTGGGCAGTGATCTACATACTGCATGGCACACGATCGAACGATGTGAAGCGTCCTATTGATTGCATTGTCCCTTATATGCATGGGCTATCGACACTCTTAACTCTTGGCTACAAGACAATCAAGCATGGCGCACCCATCGTCTTGAGAGTAGTGAAAGGATTAAACAGCGTACACTGGCCTGTTGCAAAGGGAATACTATTTAAGAAACCGGGTCGTGGGTCCCAACATTTCGGCCTGTATTTGATGCACATTTCTCATATGGTTCACGGACCTTCTCTTGAGCGACCGAAGGATTCGCTGGATCTTGCAACCGAAAATGATCCGCCATGCAAGCCCATAACTTCTCAGTCATTAATGCGATAGATACGACCTTTGACCTGCTTGACGAAATCATTCCGGTGACAAAGGACAGTTTTGCTAGCAAAATGGTACAATCCAAGAGCCCATCCTTAGAGCATTTTGGAGTTGTGGAAAAGTACACTTTCAGGAAAACTTAAATAGGTGGTGTGGATTTTGCGCGGCTATTAGATACGAACATATTTTTATCATGCAAAATACAACAACGGCACATTATGATGTTCTCAGTTGTTGCGGTTATTGTTCAACGGAGGAAATGAAAAGGGGATAGGATCCTCCGAGATGATGCATGCAACGAAAAAACAGCGGTTGTCATATGAAAATATTGATAATTAAAGGTTCTTTGCCTTTGACATCGTGGATATTGTCACTCGAATAACACTCTGGGCTCCTTAAATTGATGGTATATGATGGCTCTGATTTCTCGTTTTTCTTTGCTAATCGCTCATTATATGGTGCGCGTCACCAAGGATCGATATTTTTTACCTATTTTTTGAGAGCTTATTTCATAAATTTATATAGCATTCCTGCAGACACACTCATATATGTCGGCCCTGGTTACGACATTACACTGTATGCACCTGATCCACTTACCGGCCATTTAGTGCCAATTAGCCGCATTCCATTTCTTCATTTATCGAGTGTGCTGAATTGCTATGTAATACGTCGGGTGGTGCATGAGAACACTATCCGTACGTATCTACTTCCAAATCGTGTTTCCATTTTCCCTAAATGACCACTTTCCCTCCGACTCCTGTAACGCGCTATGACACAGCACGGCGATATGGGTTGTCATGGGCACGGCTGGCTTACAAGGCGGTGAGGAACAAGAAGGAGGTGGCTATGGCAATAGTAGATATCCTAACGATGAGCCAATTCACAAAGTTGGTGTTCTTTCAAAGGCCAAAATCGAGGATATTACCTAGTTTTGGAAACCTTTAAGATTTGGATGGTATGTTTTCTTTTATGAATCTGCGACGGTGACGATAAAAAAGGCAAGGCCAAGTATTCGATATCATATAACCTATATATGATGTTACGTTTTGATATTTTTGGAAATTTTAGATGGGAAACGACAAGAACAATGGAACATACCATGCAGGACCCAATACATTGTTTATACGACAGTCAGACGCGGGAAAATTGGGAATTGAATTAAAAACTGAAAACTTGAATAAAACTTTAATTTCATCCTTTAATCAGCCTTGAAATAACACTTATGTAGAGGTGAGTAAAGGATAAGAATAATACAGGATTTAAAGGATGACAATTAAAGGGCCGACGCGGTGGTGTATGAGGATGTCTACGATTTGTTGTTGCAGTACTACTGAAGACGCCTCCTTTTTATAACAATCAAAAGCAAGCTCACATCCCAATCGCCACGAAAGAACATACTTTAGAAGGATAATACGATAGTAATTATACCATGATAATAGTTCAAAGTGAACATTGTTTATTCAAAAAAGGGAGAAGGAGAGAGAGAGAGAGAGAGAGAGAGAGAGAGAGAGAGAGAGAGAGAGAGAGAGAGAGAGAGAGAAGGACCCCTACAATTCTGCTCGTCTTCTTTTGTAGACTCTATTGCCACAGTCAATGGCAATGAAAAAGAAAAGAAAGTTGAAGAACTATCAGTTAACTCTTGATACATTAACGTCACCAGCAATAACATATCACTGGTACTGTATATTGCTAGAGAGTATTTACCTCGGACGAGTGTTGTCTTCCTCTTCTTGCTCCTCGCCGTCACCGCTGCTGGATGACTCGTCGTCGGTCTTTTCCAGCTAATGATAATAAGTGTGTTGTAATAATGATAATTGAGTATCATTGTACAAAATATAAAGCATAGGAAATGTAGTTTTGTAACTTACACTTGTACGTTTGTGGTATCGGTGCTTGTTGCCCAACATGTATTGCAACAACCACTTCGTTGCCCACGAGTTGACGCATTGGTCAAAGTGAACATCGAATGCTTTACAGTTGACCTCTGGAATCAAAGCATACTTTTTTTGTATGCTAGGGTCAATTGAACTCCATGCTGTTGCAAGAGAAATGCCCTCCTCGGTGATGATCTCTTGGATGATCATGGTCGTTTCGAGCATGATGTTCGTCATGGCGTTGCCGCACAGCTCTTCTTCGTAATCGGCAAATAACTGTAAGGCAATGAATTGCCTCAGAACGTCTGTGCTCAAATTTTGAGCCTGGCGACGGTTGTTCACCACAACGAACGGGCGGACAAGTGTTCGTCTTGTGGTATTGACGTCTCTCTAAATAGTAAGAACAAACATATCAGCATTGACAGCAATACACTCTATGGCTTTCTTTGTACGCGATCTTCCTCCCTCTTTACTGTCTACATAGATACTCTTTCTATGTACTTCTAAATTGCTACCAACATAAAGTCGTCAACACTACCGTCTCCATATCTCTCTCTCACTCTCTTTGTTTCTTCTTTCCCAATGTTTCCAATCTACTCTTTCATTAACTGACGGCAACACTATTGCACCGCCTTCTAATGTAATGTATGAATCATCTAAACATACCGGTTCCTGTTCAACAGGCTCCTGCCTATCTCCTTGCTGGAGAACCTCAAAAATTCGATCCACTATTAGTCGGATCGCGTCAACTTTCTGGCGCAGCTCGGTGGCGACTGTCTTGAGCTCTTGCAGATCAGCGTCGACCTCCTCGTTTACTTCATCAATTCTTGTGATGAAACTCTTAACCGAGGAGATTACGGCAAATAATGCTTTTGTTGTTATAGCTTTTCCTGTTTGCTTTACGGTAGTATTATTAGACATTGTTAAAGGGAAAGGTAACTGGGCAAATAAAACGCGAGTGAGAAAGGAGAGAAAAAACGAGATATAAAACAAAAATGTTTTATACTATGAAATTTTTTATGGAGAATTCAAAAATTGACTACCGTCAATCACCCCTGATTTTACCTTTAACTGTTTTGATCATAAAAAAAATTATCAATCAAAGGATATAACATCTCTTTATATTTATTGTCTGTAAAAGAAACATCGTTTAAAAGATATACCATTTTTGACATTTTTTAATAATAGATATTATTAAGTAGTAGCTCTAGGATGACGCGCATACTATGCTGAAAACAGCCATGCTGCTCTATAATCTGCTCTTGACAATTTATTTTAAGCTGACCACATCCATCATTGCGGGCTTGGAGGATCGGCAATCGCTGATTGCCGTGGGCACATACTCGTATAAGTGAGCGTTTTTATTTTCGTTACACACGCCATCACAGTTGATATAACGATGGCCGAGACATTCTACAATGTGTCACTGGATCCCATGAAGACGCTGGCTGCGACGCTCAGCACATGTTTACTCCAGCCCAGTCCATTACACACTCAGTCATCCTGGTGATAAGATTTTAAACAACTTGCATAACACTATCCGCTATCATACCCTAGATACTTTTCCTTTTTTCTGGATTTGAATTCGCCAATATAATTGTGGTGACAAGACAAGCATTCTGAGTGCATCATCGGCCGCCCGTATAAGAGATTTAAGAGATCACAAATGACATACGTTTATGCATCATATCGCGTCAGTCCATATCGAATTACAGCTTTACATAAGCTGGATCATCCGAGTATAATGTTAACGTGCTTTACACAATTCGGTTGGATTGTCTCTATGCGACAGTGCTTAGCTGGTTGCCGTGGTAACTGCTGTGTATACTTTTGTTTGATATTGAAGCAAAAATCTTATGCTGATGATGCTTCAGGCTGTGTAATAATGTGTTCTTTTTTTCCCACAGTGTATTTATATATGCGTTTGCGCGGGCATCAGTAATATTGCAGTACTGCAATTGACATCTATTCAAGGTGAACTGCATGTCGCACTTGCATTACATGTGGATGGCTTCCAACCGTATACCAACATAAAACATACAATGACTGTTGTACATGTGGTTGTTTTGAATTTTGATCCTGACCCTCGGTAAGCAACCATACTACAATAATATTCGAGCAGGATTAAGATTGATTGTGCTATTATGCCTAAATTATCCTCAACATCGCCATGTACATAGGTATACAAACAAATACATGCTCCAAATATGCTTGATCCCGGGTCCATAGGCTCCAAGACATATGACGAGATTTCTTCAACCTATAATAAGAGAGCTACAGCACCTGGAAATTTACAGGATGGAAGTCAAGGTCGGAAACATCAGTCTGCACGCAAAGGTGCATTGGCTGCTTGCCACTGGTGATTTGCAGGCAGTTAAAGTACTGCAAAAATGGGTGTCGCATATGTCTTGTTCAAGGCGTACATCCGGTTGAAGGAGGAAAGGCGTGGATTTTCCTGATTTCAGCAACACTGCCAAAAGATGGAGGAAAGCTGATGATTTAAAGAGGAAGGGGAAAAAGGTATACTTTCTTTTTGATTATGGTATGTGCTCGTTATTAATTCACGTAAATTATACTCGTGTGCTATTATTAACATACGCACTTCCATACTTTTGCTACTATAGCAAGGACTAGATGGTCCGAGTCCTTTCACTGTGCTCCAAACTTTCCTCTCTCCAGATTAATCTGGTCTGGAAGAGTTTCATCTTCTGTCGCATGACACAGCGCACCAGTTCTTCGATTTGCTGCAAGGAAAATATGATCATCCAATCTGCTACAAGACAGAGCCCTTTTGTTATCGGTGTTAACACTGAACTGAAACAAATGAAATGTTCTCTTATGAATATCCCGACGGCGTTCGACAGCACATGGCATAGTTTGACCGGCAAAGGGAAGGTAATAACCGTCGACTGGTTAGAGTTCCTTTTGTACGTTGTCCCCACTCTGGTTGTGCCGCAAATCGATGATATCGTTGCCAAAGACGCTACGATGTGCCTCGTGAGAGCATGTCAGGGAACACTGCAGTTTTCTCACACAAGTGACGATTTCGCTATTATAGAAAGGTAATTATCCGTACAAAGACAAAACGAAAGACATATGAATAAAGAAGACAATAAGACTAATCAAGGTGGTTTATATGTGTAGTGATATCGAGTTCTGGCATGACTATTTACGCAGTCAAATCAGCGCAGAACAAATAAATCTCGAACGTTGTGACGACAGCGACGACGAAAGTAGCGTCAATAGCAGTAGCAGCAGTATCAACAGTAGCAGCATCAGTGACGATAATGAGTATATAGCACAATCCGTTCGTGTATTCACTGCAAATCAGCATTACCTCGCACGCTTCCTGATATGCTACGAAGGCTGGCATCTGTGTTACTACTGTTCATCCCGGTCGTTGGAAAGAATGATTGGTGTGTGCTCAAAAATAATAACCACGTACTCGGTCTCTGGTCAGCAAGCTGCGAACATAATGAAAAAATTGGCAATGGCACGTTGTCTCGACGCGGCAACTGATAGCAGCGTTGATACAGAAGAATCAAAAACACTTGCAGGACTCAGTTATACCAAAGTCAGGGACACGCTTGTTGTCTATATGAATCGCAAAGGGATAAGGTACAGCATTTTGAACGAAGATTGTAAGTACACAATGAGTCGGCTCTGGAGAGACCAAAAAACTTTTGGTAGCGTACTTACCCACCATGACCGATTGCGTGTTATGTACTATGTGAGATTAAAGCTTGATGATATTGACATGTAAGAAAAACTTACTTACCTTATAGAAAGGAATGATGACTTGTGCTTGTTGTGTTAACCCATCTTTTTCCCTTTTCAGAAATGCATCAGCAGGTCGTGGCTCGGTTTTTGCTCGCTGTTCCCAGTTTTACTTCGGGAAGGTGTACTTCTATTTTGTGCATGATCAAAGCAACAAAGACCGCATATTGGCAGCTGTTGGGCTCTTTAATCCCACGATTGATAGTGACAGCGGGTCTGTTTATTTGACGCCATCAGCAATAGCCGCTGAACAGCTGTTCGTTGTCGATGCTGACGAGATCTGCAACTACGCAGGTCTTTTGACGGGAACGTTTGGCAGGTCCAAACGCCACTACTGGATTTGGCCGGGTATGGTTTCAATATCAAAAGAGAAAAGTTATTTCGAAGATGGAACGTTGAAGAACATTTTTTAGAATAAATTCTTATAAGTCATGCTACCCTTTGCTTACCCTTTCGGTTCATGGGATTATACTTTAATCGCGTTTGCATGCTCTTAAACAAAAATCAAACGATCAACCTTTTCTTTCTCCTTTATTGAACCCTTAACTAATGACTAGCCCTTGACTTAACCTTTAGAGTCTTTGCTTAGTCTTTGTCGGCCTTTATCAATGATCATTTTTCCACAGTGAACCGCACTCGAGTCAGGTCTGTTTTTCTTAATTAAATAAACACATGTTTGTGGGTATATAAGTCCCACCACAAGTATAGAGATATTAGAGTAACCTTGCCATCGCCATCAATATTTTGATTGTATTTATGGAACAATAGACACCACAAGATGTATCCTTCACATTATGCCTGCTGCTGACATTTTTCTTTATTTTTGCTACTGATTGACCAATCATCCATGGATTTATCGTTACTGTAACTCTCCGTAAACTTATCGTTACCTACTTTACCATGATAGATATTCTAATAAGAGACTCAATGCGCATCTAATCTTATTTTACTCGGCAAAAATCGACAAACGGTGCTTGATGATATGTTAAATTCTGAGCAATAAACATCCTTCGTTGGCTCTCGCTTATTAAACTATACTGCGGCTATCTGTTTATTATAATTACACGTGGCACGGCTCTGTTGTCGTCTTCTAATTTCGTGACAGAGCTCACATCCACCTACTTGAGTTAGAAGTATGTACATGATTGTTATCAAACGATTCTCAAGATTTTTCATCGGTTTGACCTCACCTTCTTAAATAAAGAATAATATAATTCAAAATACCTTTTACTTGAAGGATATTAAAAACTAAATGTTTATGAGACTAACAGAAGTATACCGTTTGCAAAATGATTAGTAGAACTTAATCTCACTGCTGCACAACACATTCCGCCATTATCATTCCCACCTTTTATTGGAATGCTGCTGCCGTTAGTGAAGTATCTACTACGATAAGAGCGAACTGCCGAGAAGTTAGGAAAAGGTTGCACAGAGAATTGTTAAGACAAGATCCGATTTCGATCAAGTGGGAGGAAAAGCTATTGATTAATTGTATCATAAATCATCCAGGAAGCAACTGCCTTGTATAAATCAGACTTTGTAGTGTCAATGCTACTTGCGGTAATCATTTCTATGCTCACTATCTTTTCCTAACAAGCGACGAATGAGGTTGTCCGGGTTGAAACATGTAGGGATTCGTGATGCATTGCGAGTGCATAAAAGCCCCAAAGAAAGGGCCATTCCCCCCCCCTTCCATGCATGACTACTCTCAACCTCTTTAGCTATTTCACCATCAGCTACATACAGCGCATGTGTGCATATTGTACGTGAAGCGAAAACCTTGTTTGTGGAAGAGTTGTGGATGATTTTTGGAGTGTCTGGCTTAACAAATGTAAACTGAAATAAGAGTATTCGCTCATTAATATCGGAGAAGCCCTCAGTCATTTAATTATTATGATGATGACAAAGGTCAGATCATACAAGGCTATGCGCACCGTCAGAAGACCTGTGTTCACCCATACCACTACCCCCGAATCGCTTTGTTACCTAGTGCACCTAAGAAATCAAATGGTCGTTGCCCAAATCCCCTAAACCATTGCAAGTGTGGAGAAACTGTAGCATACCAAATATCATAGATTTTGTGTAGCACAAACATGTTCCGTCCAGCTCAACCCATATAAAACCCACCATGCACCACAAGCCATATCAGAGGCACACCAAGTGAAGCAAACATGGACGAAACGAAACAAAAGAGAATACAAGAGACGCAAACGGACCTCAGCGAAACAATTCGCCGCGCCGTCGCCTTCTATTTGATCTGCGTTTCTACGGCCCCAGCGATTTCGAAATGGAAAAGCACGGTTTTATATGTATTTTTTGTAGCCAATGAATAAGTAGATCACGGTTTCTGCACTCAGTTCGGTTGGAGCAGAAGAGGAAAGTGGTGGGTGGCGTTAAGTGATGATAATGGTGGTAGTTGTGGTAGTAGTAGTAGCAATAGCAGTAGTAGCAGTAGTAGCAGTGGTGCGATGACTATATGGTAGCGGATGATGATGCGTAAATTATGTAAATATTTCTTAGGCGGTGAGCTTGCTGTACAGAAGAGGGGTATACTGGAATACCGTCATGGCCGATAATGAAATGATACTGAGCAAGATAACATCTGGTATTGAAATAAGGTGTGTTGGCGTTAGTTGCCTCTATGTTATATAAGGCCAAGAAAAAAAAACGGAAAATGAAGGGGCAAACTTACTGAATAAAGCCTTCTCCCAAGGCTCTAACATGTACAGAGCCGTTTGTAATTCATACTTGTAGATAAGCGTCGAGATCGAGCTCGAAAGTCCCTGATTTGAAGAAGAAGAAGAAGAAGATGGCATGAGATGTGTAGTTGGAAAAAAAGAATAAGAATAAAAAAGAGGGTTAAACTTGGCGAACAGAGTGTGCCAAAATGGGTTTCGAAGATTTTGGTTCTCAGTTAAGCCCATCGTCGCCAAGGCAAAAATTCTCCATAGGAACCAATCACCGAAACTTTTACGACTTTCTCTTCCCTAAGACTGGACAATAAGCAGCAATCTGTACAAAACATGGCTTCCTTGGTTGGCCTGATACTCCCCATCTACCCTCGGCGAGCCATTCTACCTTGCAATTACTTTCTACTTTATCTATCTCAATACCTACTATGTCTAACATTATTGAATTGGACCTTGTGTGCTGTGTTTAAAAATATCATGGTAGAAATCAACTTCATTCAATTTTACTACCTTATCTCTGGATGACCGAAAACATATCATGCCGTGGACTAAACAACGCTAGATGCATGTCCGCCAAAGAAGCTTGTCAATTCAATGACTTTCCAAAAAGTCCGTTCTGGAGATACTACTCCATTATCATTATCAATCGAAGCACGACTGTACTGTGCGATAATGTTTGGTGAAAAGCAACTCACATAGAATTTGTAAGTTATATACACTAAGTGGTGTTTCTACATGTGAGAGCGAGAAGAATTAGTAGCTTCCAGCATGGATCTATCATGTCACACACACCATCCAAAACGCGAATGCACAGAGGGGAAGGAAGGACAGGGAAAGCTGGTGGGCCAAAGGCGTCTGGGTCGCCTGATATGTGATTGGCTAATTGGACAAGCTTGCCACGGCTGATGGTCCGGACTTTCAATCCGGGCAGTGATGGTATTACGCTCGCTCAGCGAAGTAAGGATCCTTCCTTTCAATCATTATGGTAAGTAGGGGGCGTACATGATGATGGATGCAGTGGATAAGAGCAAAGACGTATAGAGAAAACGAACGGATGGATGGATTTACGGATGGATTGATGCATGGGAAATCCCCACAAAGCTATCCATTAAACGACGGATCCGTTTCACCAACAAAAATATCGATATCGAATTGCCGGCACATTCTAATCGTTTCTCCAACATTACCATTCTTCCAATCCATTGTTATTATAGGCTGATCAGCAGCAGACTACTCAGAGAAAGAGAACTTTCCGCAAGTTCACCTACCGTGGTGTCGACCTTGACCAGCTCTTGGACTTGTCCTCTGAGCAATTCATGGAGTTGGTCCATGCCCGTGCCCGCAGACGCTTCCAGCGCGGTTTGAAGCGCAAGCCCATGGGTCTTATTAAGAAGCTTCGCAAGGCCAAGAAGGAGGCCGCTGCTGACGAGAAGCCCGCTACTGTCAAGACCCACCTCCGTGACATGATCATCGTTCCTGAGATGATTGGCTCTGTTGTTGGCATCTACAACGGCAAGGTTTTCAACCAGGTCGAAATCAGAGCCGAAATGGTTGGCCACTACTTGGGTGAATTCTCGTAAGTATTATATATGCACATTTAACAGTGAGAGGGAAAGAGAGAGAGAATACAGGGAATATTGTGAATGTGCATCTTTTTGCATTGTGTCGTGTCAATTCGCTTATTTAATTTCGTTATTTTTCTATATAGCATCTCCTACAAGCCCGTTCGTCACGGTCGCCCTGGTATTGGTGCCACCCACTCTTCGAGATTCGTTCCTCTCAAGTAAAAACATACTCAAGAGAGAAATAATAAATCAGTACCGAAGACAATTTTTGTGTACTTGCAACAATTCGAGTTTTCACGCTCAAATTTTTTTTTGGATCTGGAGAGAAGTTTGTGTGATTTATTATTATTGTAAACGAGCACTACGATAAAAAAAATGCTATTTGGATGTGATAAATAGGTGTGCTTATTAATCAAACGAAAGCAAAAGCCTTGTTTGGATGGTGATGAAAGTACATGTCGTTGGGGAACGAGCTGCCGTCTCCTGTAGTGCATTTCATAGAAGCATTATTACCATTTCGATTACATACATATTCCATTAAAAACTCACCGTTTTCCTTGGGAGCGAGTCGTGGACTGTAACCACTACCTCCGCTGTTGCTCTTACCAGCAGCCATAGCCATTGCTTTGCTTGGGTGGTGATGGTAATACATGTCGTTTAGCGTATCCACTCGGCCTAATTAAAAAAGTAAAATGAGTGGGAGCAAGTAACTTGATGATTGTTGATCTTACCTTCGCTATTTTGCTGACTACCTCCGTTGCTATTCTTATCTGCTGCCATGGCCATGGCCATCGCTTTGCTGGGATGATGATGGAAATACATGTCATTTAATGTATCAACTCGACCTAAAGAAGTGTAAGCTCAAATGAACCGACATTTTCTCTCCAGATCTTACCATCGCTACTACCACCATCGTTGTTGTTTGCTGCCATTGCCATAGCCTTGCTGGGGTGATGATGATAGTACATATCATTCAACGTGTCCACTCGACCTTTTTACAAAGGATAAATGTGTATCAAGACTTTCAGCAAAAATGATCTATCAGCCTTTATCTTTGTTTCAACTAACCTTCACTGCTTTGATGGCTACCGGCATTGTTGTTGTTTGCTGCCATAGCCATTGCCTTGCTTGGATGATGATGGTAATACATGTCATTCAGCGTATCAACTCGGCCTAAAGCAAAGTAGAGTGGCATATTACTTTCGCAAACCTTGTTTATGATTCACCTTGTCGCCACCGCGCTTGCTTCGTACTTACCGTCGCTAGCCCCGTCGCCCTTTGCAACGATAACAGCATAGCTCAATAGCAATGGTATGGCTGCTGCAACAGTCAAAATGTTCTTCATTATGTTTATCTTAAAATTAGGGAAGAAGTATGAATATATTTCAAGGGGAAAGAGATCTACTTTTTCTGGGCAAAATGTCCATGGGTTAAAACCCTCACCCTTCTTCTTTCATTGCCATGGCTGGTGAAGGATGTAGAAATTATGCAAACCCTTGAACCAGGCTTTTACTTTGACCAATTGCCATAACCCTCAACGTATGATCGAACAAGCAGACGTAGAGAGGCTAGACAATAGCATACAACATATTGTAATAGCTTGTGTGCAAATGTATCGATATACGTCATGGCTTGCACGTATACATGCATCGGCCCGAAACATATTTCCCAACCCAGGGACTGTTTGTGCTAATTTAAATCTAACATAATTGCCATTTCATTTATATGACACCCATATTGTCTCCAAGACACTGGAAAAGTTTAGTGAGAGGAGAAAGTGTGGTGGTGTGGGATGCTTTTGGTCCTGCATGGTTCAGAGATTTCATTTTGCGGAGCTGCTTTCCCGGCAGACCTCAAGTTCCTCGGCTTGCATTTTTCTCTATCAGAAGGTTATGTAAGAAATATTCAAGCATCCGATCATGGTCCCATGTAAGCTTCACAGACAACACTGATGTGTGTATGAGCTTGCAGAGGTAATCCATCTTTATAGGCGATCTTGGGCCCACGTTGTTTTTTACCCCACGATTTTTAAGACGCGGGCTTTTCCAGGTAATGTTTCAAAACAAGCTTCATCGTTGACTTTCATATTCGGGTAAATACTGATTATTTATTCAAAATATACTCATGCACATTTATTGGATATCTGTCATGAGAAATGTCAGAGTGCTATGTGAGTTAACTGCTCTTGTGGAAGTCTATCCTTGATGAAGCCTTGGTCGGAGCAAAGGATAACTGGACGTCTCTCATAAATGTTACAGACATACTGTACTTTGTGTCCAGATTCCTTTGATCCAACATTTGGCAAGTATAATCTGAACTGTGAGTTTCTTACAAACAAAAACATACAATGATTATATACGGCATGTTATACTATGGTAAAAGATATTATACTATTGATTATACTGATAAACATGTAAAGAAACATATGCCAGCACCAAATCAAACGGTCGATTACGTGAGAAAGCCTCCGTTGAATTTGCTGCTACTACCGTTGACGAAAATCAAACCCGTCGTATTTTCCAAGATTGTGCAGGAATGCCAGCCTTGAAAAAAGCGGGGGTCCATTGTATGCTCCAGGCCGTCGGGTTCGGTCCATGCAAGCTGCTTCTCCAACTTAATGATGTTGTTTGTTTTGCTCATGTTTATCAAAACATCTCCCTCCGTAACCAACCCTGCTGGGCTAGTACCTTCGCCTGTTGTGAGGCCTGTGTGCGCAATTAACCGTCATCCCTCTCTTATCAGCACACTCCACTGACTCGTCCTCTCTTCTCCTCTATCTTCGCCATAATATCTTCACACCTCAAATTCTCCATATGGGTTAGCAATAAATACATTGCAACTGGAGTCGTCAACAAAAGATAAGGACTGTGTTACACAAGTAGGCAAAGCGAGCTTATTGTTAAAATAGATAGATTGCATGTTGATGAAATTGTTGTAAGCCATTATGTTCGCCAAACTCGCAACAGCAAATGCAAAAGCATCTTTATAATGGGAACGCTGTAAGCAATTTTCGAATGCTAGGCATTATCCATCACATCTGCTTATCCTTTCGCTTACGCGTAGCTCTCGGTGTTTGTTATTGATTCCCATTTAATATGCTTTTGTACTGGATTGACGACGTTCTACTGATGTGGGTCAGCGTGTGAGCTTAGAAATAAAGAAGAATGCCCTTGTTTCAAACCGCATCATTACTGTACCTAACGCATGGTTATGCAATGCAGGTTATTCCCGTGATGCATCTCTACCCTTAAATCAGATCCACCTCTGTCCAAAAATGCTTTATCAGAGCAGCTATAGTGATTAATGGCATTTTTTTGTATAAAATTGTAGATTCTTCCCCTATTGTCCGTCCCAAGCGGTAGTAGATATGTTCTCCCGAACTATGCGCCTTTTTAGACATTTTGAATAAAACAACAAAGTTTAAAGAAGTTTATCATAACATCCAACCAACAAGATGAATCGTGGCTGATCTTATCGCCGAGTTGACACGACAGTTTAAAGTCGCATAAAGTAGTTCCCCCGTTAACTTTTAGCACTTACAGATGGATGATCACAAATATTCGGATATCATATTTTGAGAACGAATTAAAACGAGGGCAGACTAACGGTTTAGACAACCAATCATGCAATCCACAAGAAGCTATACCGTTACTTTATGGGTTTCCCCGCACTGATGACTCTGCAAAGTTCTATCTGTATTGGAAACTACTAACCTCTCTTCAAGTAAAATAAAGGTTAAATATACTAGCTTTTGCCTTTATAGCGATATACGTACTGGCTTAATTGTTTTTTTTTATGAAATAAAAGGTTTATCTGTATCGGACCTGTACACCCAAATCAAATTATGCAGATCGGATAGCCCTCATATCCGATGCAATTCGATTCGTGCAAAACCATAAAGTACATATGAAGACCAACTAAAAATGCTGCTAACCATGCAACAACGCCTGCTAGCAAAATGAAGGGCCGTTTACCCATCGATAATGGCATTAGCCAAGTGACGGTGCCGTTGGCGTAATGACAATGCCAATAAGCAAAGTACGTGGCCGTTGGCACCTTGAAAAAAAATCTCGAAAAAGAAATTCCGTTGACCAAAATAAAAAAAAAATCCCGTGTCCGGGATTGGATACCAAAAATCCAGTATTGCCACCAAAAGGGAAGGCAGAGCACTTCAAATGACGACTGATGGTGCAACCAGATCTGCTTCAACATTACACCCTTCACCGTCGTCAACCTCTGCACAATCGATGAACTCTACGTCGTCGCAAACGCCACTAAACCGACAAGCGGACGATGGTGGCGAATCGAGCAGCAGAAGAGCAATTCCAGAAGAGAACACTACTTATTTTTTATTAGATATAAACGACGGCGATAATAACAATAACAATATTGTTAAAGACAATAATGACGTCGATTGTGACGACGCTACTGCCAATGATGCTGAACAATTGCAACAGCAACAACGACGACGGCGTGGACGATCTGGCAGTAACTCTCGGCGGTCAGTAACGAGAAGCACCAGTTGTAGTAGTAGTAGTAGCAGCTCTTCCTCAGGTTCGAGCGTCTCAGCACAAGTGGTTATCGATCACGGCAATTCTTTACCACGACGATTGGATAAACGAATCGCACGCCGATTAGTACGATCAGACAATGAGGAATCTGAAAGTGACTATGCCTACAGTTATACACCACGTCCAGAAGCGGGTGGAGCGGAAGAAAATGTCACACATCCATGTTCACAAGGAGAAGACGCGGAAGGAGCAACACAACCTGTATCGCCGACGGATCGAGAGGATGATGGTATCCACCACCACCACCACCGTCAGCATCATCATCATCACCACCATCAGCGCAAACTTGACAACTCCACGCACGAAGGCAAGCCGCCCCAAGGCATGACTGTGTATACGGAGGAAGATGATGAGTTGATGGAAGAGGTGCCTAGCTGGGGTGATCACGAACGGATACGACGGCATGAAGAAGATGAAGAAGAAGGGTTGCAGGAAAATAGCCCCTATGACGGTGGAGACGAAGGCCGTGCACAACGACATCATCATCAACGGAAACCAAAGAAACGGATTAATCGGCTTCGCCAAGAAGATCTACACTCACATTCATGGAGTCGTCGAGAAAGCCAACAAAATGTTCGACGATCCGGTTTGACGAGCGAAGAGGCATTACAGTACGTGATGCGTTTCTTTATCTATTTTCTCCGACCATTGCAAAAAGAAGATTAATTGGGATGAGGGTACTAGGAAACTGCTGTTTGTTGCAAACCAGATATTGGAAGAAAAGCGAACCCAAATTGCCAAGAAAATATGTGGGTATCGTTAAAATATGATCAATTATCTTGATTGATTTGCTCATTGACTTTCTATATTGCGGTTTCCTTTTTTTGTACCGAATCAAAGCTGTGATGGACTGGCTGCTTCGCCCGTGGACCCTACTTGGGCTACTAACGGGTTTCGCACTCTTGGTTTTCTATATTGCCGGATACTTCGTGAGCGATCCATATCAGTTCCGGCTGACAGGTGCACTTGTAGAATCCCTGCTTGTATTGGCCATGGTAGGCTGGAACGGATTCCTGTACCAGCGCGAACAAAAGATGACCTTGTACGAGATGATAAATCGAGCAACGACTATTATCGAAGCATTGGATCGCAGTGGCATGAATATGGTGCAGGTAAACCCCAACAATATTTTATGAGCGAGATATCACCCTGTTTGATTGCGGATCATGTTAAGCATTCAGTTGTACTCTATAATCAGGATACGCGGATACCTTTTATTCCTAATATGTCGGTAGCGAGGGTAGTCCGTGACGGTGTCGTGCGTATATTCCCCGTAAATCTGCTGGTCGAGGGCGATGTCGTTGAAATGCTCTATGGAGACGTCGCACCGGGTCGCATGAAGTACATTCACAAACCTGGCGGTTCCGTGAACGATTCGGACAGCCAACAGCAACAACAACACGCCGAAATATCGTCCAAAGAAGAAGGATACCCATTACAAACAAGAGAATACTACTTGGCTAAAGACCAGATCTTCAAATCGTCGTTTTTCGGTATACCACCACCCATGGGTCTTATGGACGAATATTTGCGAGCACGCGGACGACATCAATTTCTGCTGTTGGAGACGCCGCTCGAAAAGAACATGCGCACGGCACTTGTTCAAAAGCGTCCGGACACAGTTCTGACAGAAGAAGCTCGCAAGCTTGAACGTGTATTTTATCACTATATCGTTTGGATTGTGATTGGCATTGAATTTGTTATCAACCTGCTTCGATTTGGACTCAGGGACAAACTCGTCAATGGCTTTGCTACAGATCAGTTGCTCGAATTGATGACCGTTATTCCATTCTACTCGATCTTACCGCTGTTGCCGTTTTGTCTTCCAAGCTTGTGGCTGGTTGCTAGAAGTTTTGGGAATGCTCAGCTGCTGATCTTGTTTGAGGCGCTTCAGATATCCAAGACCGAGTATGAGGATGATGATGAAGACGACGAGTTTGATACAGAGGCACCACCTCCAACAAAAGATGTCGAATTGAGTCCCAGTAAGTTGGGTTGTTTCTTTCCTGTGCTTTCTCCTTTTGTATAAGTGTGTGGATGAAATATTTAGAGCTCTATGATGTCTTTTAGATGTTGTATGGGATCGATTTTGCTCGCTTTTGATCAAACGAGATCGACTGTCGCTAACAAGATCAATCAATTTGTTGGAGTCGCTCGGAAGCACTACAGTCATCTGTTGTTTGGATAGAGAAGGAACCATTGCAAACGTAAGTTATATTACATGAGTATTGGGCTATATATACTTGCTACTAAATTAAAAACCAATAAATTAGCCTTTTCCTACCGTAGAGCAACTGATGTTTCCTGACAAAGAAGATATACGCTATCTGGACGTAACGGAGGATTCGGATGAGGAATATGGACTCAAGTTTGAGGACCAAGACTGGGAGCAATATCTTGCGTAAGCGGTTAAATAGGGAAAATGGGGCCAATCTTAGCAAAACTTATATTGTTCTATGATCTAACTTTTTTTTTGTCTCAGCTCTTTAAAACCAGTAGGGTTGAATTTTATGTTGAATACCAACTGTGGTGTGCTCCAGGGAAGGAAACGATCAGAGTATCATCGTCGTCGCTCGAAACTGCACGTCTATGGTCGAACTTCACCAGCACGACAGAGTAAGTGTGTAAAAAGACCACTGGACTTTTTCTTGGCTTTTTTCTTCCCATTCACGCCCAACTAAGACAAACAAACACACTTTTAACCTGTTGTAGCCTGTTTATGTCGACTGGGCAAGTGCATTGGTTTTAAAGAAGAAGCACTTGATTCGTTCGCACTGAGAGCTGAAATCTATACATTTGCTCCATATCATGAAATGCTCAGTGCAGCACGCTACGAGTACAGTCAATATTATCAGTTCGAAGTGCCCAATGCATTATCTACTGTTTTCGAAGAAAAGACTTCAGGTATTTGGGGTTCCTTAGACTCCTTTGAGGTTAGAAGACGCCCCGGACTGACTTACTTTATGTAGGAAGCTACCAGCTTTTGACAGATGGACATCCTTCACTTGTGCTAGACAAGTGTTCTGATTACTGGGACGGCAATGGCTTACAGACCATGTGCCATACGGTAAGTTGTGAGATATAGTTTCCATTCCCTTAACCCTTCTTTTGCTAAACTATGTTTTCTTTAAATAAGATGGAGAAAAAAGTTAGCGACTTTTTCCAAAATGCCATGGTACACGACATGCAATGTATTGCTTATGCCTATCGCCCAATCAACACGACGCACGGACACCGTATCCCATTTCTGAACCCTATTGTTGAAGATGCCGAAGAGCCCGGCTGTGCGTTCGTGGTCTTACCTTTTAAACCACCTAGCTCAGATAGTTCGAGTACAGCAAGCAGCAGCAGCAGCAGTAGTAGTAGTCAAAATAGTGTAAACGAAACGGCACCACAGACTGGATCGCCATCACTATCGTTTACTGGCATACCGTTATCGATTGAAAGTGGTGCGGAGGCAGAGCCATCATCATTGCCAAAAAAACACCGACGCCGTTCCTCCAAAACTACAGCGGAATCTTCAGGCAGTGAAAGTACAAGCGATTACTCGTTTGAAGAAGATGAGCCTGTGGACGAGCAGGAAGAGGAAATGTTTTACAAGGAAGTTGTCAAAGGCCAGATTTTCTTGGGAATGACAGCCATGTGCCATCAACCGAAACAAGTATGTATTATGTGTTGTGCGTAATGTAAAATTCATAGAGTGATTAATTCAAGCTTGAACAACTGTGCAGAATGTTGTGGACTTTATCGAGGATTTGGGTCTAGCAGGGATTCGTTTCGTCAACTTTTCTCCTACGGCAGAACGCGAATCGAAAGGTATTGTTTACTCCCCTCCTTTTTTTTCCTATGTAGTAGTAATAGTAGCTAGCCAAGAGAATGAAAAATTGACGTTGTGTTCATTCGGTTCCAAATTAGCATTTGCCGAGAGATTGGGACTTGAAACCGACTGGAACAGCTGCATACTGCTCTCAAGTCCTGACGATGAAAACTGCGGCAATGGATACCTTCAGTCGCACGACATTAAAGCCCAGCTTCCGCGAGGTATCGACCAGATCCGACATCATCTTGAAGATGTGGATGATATTCCGCTTCATGTCTCGCTGTTTGCAGAGTGTACGCCCCGAGCAATCAAGGAGATGATCCGTATTTTCCAAGAGTATGGCGAAGTGGTATGCTGTATTGGCAACGCATTGAACGCAAAAAACACGGAATCGTTTGCATTGGTAAGTAGCGTGTTTGGATTAGCAATCACGGGGATGGAATCTATCACAGCTTGTCAAAATGAAAACAGTTTACCTTTTTATGGCAATTAATCATGTCTTTGTTTCTAAACCTCCAAGGCGGACATGAGTATTGCCATGGAACCCATGCACACCCGCGCTCAAACCAAAGGACGTTTATCACTGAGTGGACGACAGCCGCCCTTGGCCGTAGGTGCTTCCCTGGTCAGTCTCCCGTGTGGACTTTTCATGCAATATGAAACAAGCTTGTACGCCGTAACACAAATGATTCGTGATGCACGAAGATTGATGAGCTGTATTAGAATGGTACGTATTTTACTGTGCTGCCGGGATAAAACTTACCCTTTCTTTTTTTGTGGAGCATACGCGCGTAAGCTAACATTGCTCTCCTGGTATACGTTGCGCACCGCTTTATTAGGGATTCGCATTCTATGTAGGCACCTGCATGTCGCTGACGTTGATGCAAATTTTGTGCTCTTGCATGTTACTACCGTCGCCAATAACCGGCTACCAAATTTTGTGGATCATGTGGATCATCTTGCCAATTCTTTCCTTATCGATGCTATTTACCCCGCACGATGACAACATTATGCTCCTGATGCCTGGTGAGTCTGAGAAGAAATTGCATACAGTTTTTTTAAGTGTAATTTGACTAAAACAAATCGTGTTCTTGCCCAATGTCTCTAGGTAAAAACATCGAGCATTTGACTGGCCTTGTACGTTTCATGGTCTATTTCTTGCTACGTTTTTTACCGCTCATAATAATATGTATAATTATTTACACCATGTGAGTTACCGACGTTGTCATTCTATGCTCTCTATAAGCCGACCTTTTCCATGCTAAAACTCACCATTCGGGCGCGCTACACGCATATTTTGAATACACAGGACACTTATTTATTCTCTGGGCATCCCTGCATCACAAGCGTTCGGAGGTCTAGGCAGCAGTGATCGAGGAGGATGGTTGCATTGGACGCGCGAAGAACAGTGGGCAGTCCTGTATGCCCAGAACTTGATGCTTATTTCCTTCGTCTGGTGCTTAGCGTGGATGTCTCCATCCTTCTTGCACCGCACATTCTCGCTCTACCACTCGATACCTTTCAAAAACAAGGTATGGGTAGGTGCATTCTTCATAGTGATCGCACTACAGTTTGTCTTTTGTGCCGTCTCGCTTGTGCATGGCCCTTTCCAACTGGCATCCATTCCTTGGTATGTCTATTTTCTTGGGCTCATTTGGCCTGTCATTGCAGTGCCTGTACAGGAGCTCGTCAAGATGCATGACGACAAGGAGTTTACCAGGTTCCAGAAACGATCCAAGCTGGAGTTCAGTACAAAGGTAAATTTTTCTATTTTCTCGTTACGTTTTGAAAAAGATAGTCCCTCATTCCCTTTACTGATCGTATAACACAAACCTATCCTTTCTTAGCTTGGCATGCATTCGCCACTTTAAAAAGTCTATAGTTTTAATTGCCACCTTAATAAATTTTGCACTCATTTTTACCCCACACCAAGAGAATGGTACGGATGTTTTAAATGCATGTAGGAGAAAGAGAAAAGACTAGGTCATTCGTCTCGGGTTGTCTAGGCAACGCTGTAACACCCACCCCTGCATAATGCATCGTGATTTATCACAGCTTGAACGCGGATTGGTTACGTCCATCTTCGTGTGTGAGTGTGAGTGTGTGTGTATGGTGGACTTGGAACAGAGTAATACAGGATAGTACACAACGTCGATACCAAGTGAAGCAGCGAAAACGGCAGTTATGCTCAAGGCATCTGATTCTTTTTATTCTAAACAAAATTCCCCGGACGGAAACGGAGGCCCTGATCGTAAATAAAACAAAAAATTCAAAGTTGCACAAGAAAACATGCAATGGGCCGGCACCGCACCTTTTTTTTTTTGTGTTTGGAAAGGCATTTCAACTATCGTGTACGTAATCAGCATCATTAAGTCCGCTCAAATAACCGGTTTGCCTAGAAGGGTTCTGATGGGAAAGGCTGGGTTTCTGTTCGTGCTGAAAGAAGAGAGAAAGAGACAGCGGGGGGAAGAGATGGAATCGACTGATAGCTAATAGGTTTGACAGGGACAAGGGACCTAAGGATGGTGTACAACAAACAACAACCAAAAAAAATGGCGGGGCTCTGTCCGGGGAAAACAGTTACTAAAGAAGGTTGAACGTTTCCATTCATCGTGCTTTATAAGCTAATAAGGCGGGAAGGAAGAAGTAACTTAGCAAGCAAGCGAGTAGGTTAGGCGAGATTGTAACCCCACTGGACGAGCAGACAGCGTCAGCTTATCGGCATCTGTAATCTTATAGGATCGCAGTAGATGCTTGATCCCAAAAAAACCTTTTCAAGAGAACAAGAGGAAGACTGGACCTTCTTTTGAAACCAAAAAGAAAGAGAGTCCCGTAGGCTGGATAACAGGCTAAGTAGCAGGTCTACCCCACACAGGACCTTTTTGGGTAAGGCACCTGCCCTGTCCACTTATTGGTTAGATTTCTCTGTCGCTCTTTTTTTTCTCTTTAATCCTCTTTATCATTTTAACACTTTTCTCTTTTTCCTCTTTTCCACAGATTCCCGTATTTTACACAACCCTACTCTTCCACCTCCACTCACACTCACTCATTCACTACTAAAACACACACCCCACCCCACTCTTTCTTCTTTGAGACTATCTTTTGTATGCCTGAAGATATAACAAAAAGACAACGTGTGAGCAAAGCTTGGTAAGTTGGTCCTTTCTTTCTACAAAACTTTTTTTTGTGATCGTGTGCTAACGCTGAAATTAAGCGAGCAATGTCGACGAAAAAAGGTGAAATGCGACGGTGCTTCGCCATTATGTAGTAATTGCGTTGCACTTGACATTCAATGCACATACAAGGAATCGACCCGAAAGGTATTGTCTAGGTTTACAGTTTTCTCTTTAGCAGACATCGTAGATATGCTCCAACATTGGGTCACTAACAATCAACCATTACATGATACCTACCAATTGTATAGAGAGGACCTCCCAAAGGATACATTGAAGCAATCGAAGGGCGGCTACATCGACTTGAAGCGCTTCTCGGCAGCATTGTCCAAGAAGGCGACCCTCGATTCCAAGCGGTGATGAACGAGCTCAATGCACCATTAGAAACAGCATACGGCGAACTCGTGCGTCCGCGTCCAATGCAGCGCAGCGTGATTGCCGGCTTTGAAGAAGGCGGACAAAACACATCGATAGCCGAATACCGAGACGCAGAAGAACTGCAAAGAAACCCGACGGACATGGGCAACTCAATGACGACGATCGACTCTGTCAACGACAACATGTGCAACCTGTCGATTGACGAAAGTGGGCAACTTCGCTACTATGGCAGGTCGTCGGGCTTTTACATGCTGCAAGGCAGCAAAAACTTTCAAAACGGCTCGTTTCAATTCGGCTCCGATGATGCTATCCATTCCATTCAACAACGGGTAGACCCGTTTGAGATGCCGCCTGACGACTTGTCAAAGCACCTGCTCGAGCTCTACTTTGAGTACTTTTATCCGTTCATCCCGCTTTTGCACAAAAAGTCGTTTATCGAGTCGCTCAATAGCAAGGATAAGCCGCCATCGCCTTTGCTGTTAAACGCTATTTATGCCGTGGCTTCGCGTGTCTCGCCCGATCCCCGTGTGCGCGCTGATCCTGATCATCCAGACACTGCTGGCGACGTCTTTTTCGAACGCGCGCGTCTGTTGTTGGATTTCGAGTGGAACAACTTTCGCGTCTCAACCGTACAATCGTTGCTACTGATGAGCAGCCATCAGAACGGCGCTTTGAAACCCACTCGGGGCTGGATCTACAGTGGCATGGTAACGTTGATAATTATTGCTTAGATCAAAGCGAGAAAACAAAAAGCTTATTCAGTTATTGTGCTTTTCTTTAAAAGGCTTTTCGTATGGCACAAAATCTGGGTTTGCACAGAAACTGTGACACGTGGAATTTGTCCGCTGCTCAAAAGGAAGACAGAAAGCGAGCATTCTTTTGCTGGTAAGGCTAAGATGAGTTAACTGGATAAAGGCGTGTGTTCTAAACATCATTGTCTCTCTAGTTTTGTGATTGATCGATTGACGTGTGCAATGCACGGAAGAGCGCCCATGATTGACGAACGCGATTACGACACGCCTTATCCGACCGAGCAGGACGAAGACGACTTGAATCGGACGCCGCGTATTATGGACAACTTTATCGCGCTTGTGAAACTATGCGAAATTCTCGGCGACGTACTGCGCGATCTATACATGGTCAAGGGCCGCAAGCAGCTATCCGTGATGGCAACGCCTGACAGCGTCATTTCGACACTCGACCGAGCCCTGAACCAATGGATGGCCAAACTGCCGCCCTCGTTACGCTACCGACCCCCGAATACCAGACTGGCAGAAAGAGCTCCAGCGCCGGCGTTGGAACTGTGTCAAGTGCACATGCTCTTTTATACCACCTTGATCCTACTGCATCGACCCTTTATCCCCGGCCCTACCCAGAGCATTGCACCTTCCGTTTTCCCGTCGGCATCCATCTGCACATTCGCCGCAAACAAGATTCTCGACATTGCAGAGTCGATCTTTGCAGACGGCCGTCTGACCAACGTCAACAACTACTCACTGTACTTTATGTTCACTGCCGGCATCATTTTCATCTACAACGCAGCTTCGACGGACAGCATGTTTTCCTTTGAAGCCAAAATCAGCATTAACAAGACCATGCGCGCCATGGATGAAGTTGAAAAGACATGGATCACCTCTGCGCGTCACTGCAACATCCTTGGTGAACTTGCTGGTCTTCGCGAGATCAATCTGTCTGGTGTGGATGACAGCTATCGCAGACGTACATCGATACAACGCCAGACGAACGCGGCACCCGCTAGTATTGCTGTGCCAAATTCACCTGTCATGATGCAAGAAGAAACAACGACTACGGCTACCCATCAACAACAGCAGCAACAATCGTTGTTCCCATTGTCTCAGGACGCAACCGAGGACAAGTATTCCAACTACTATGCCGTGTTCAACGAAAAGTCACCTCCACGATGCAATGGCTACAGTGTCCATAGTCCACCTCAGAACGTTGCACAAACGCCGCCACTAGCATCAGCACCGTCGCCCAGTTCGGCTACCACCGCAAACATGCCAGTCTCACAAGGCGGTGCTCGACCGTTTGATCCACTGGCAACTGCGTTCTGGGGCATGCCCACATCGTTTGACATTGATGAATGGAACAGTTACTTTAACAACCAAAACCCTCAGCGTCCTCAACAGCAAGAGCAACAGCAATCAACGCCACAGCAACAACACTCTTCTCAACAGCATCCTTCTCATCCACTCCAGCCTCAATCCAACGCTACACAACAACCTGAAAATAATCATCATCATCATCATCATCATCATCATGTTGGGAGACCGTATTGGTAGTCTCCCCCCTCCTCCCTTTGTTTTTGTATATGTAATTCTCTTTTATTTTTCCCTTTCCTTTCGTCACTGTAGATAATAGCAATATGAATGAACATAGAAAAATTACTTCTTCCGTCAATATTTCTCTTTTTTTATTCATTCTTGATGGAGTGTGTCGCAAAATTTGGCAAGTTCGATATCACGATTCGACAGGCCCTGGCAATCATGCGTCGATAAGGTAATTTCAACACGGTTGTACACCTAGAAAAGCACAAGGCAGTTGTTAGTATCAAGCAGAATTTTAAACAGATATACAACTTGCATTAAACCACTCAGGATGATGGTCCATCTTGTCTGCCTTGAGGGCAACGCGTGTCATGAATCCAAACGCTTCGTTAAAGTCAGCAAACTGGTAGTTTTTCTGGATAGCGTCCCTGCCTTGCGTCATAGCCCAGCCGGAGGACAACAGGGGCTTCAATACCGACTGTCGTTCGGATTGGCTCAGTGTGGAGAGCAGGGCCATTTGTGTGGTGGTGGTGGTGTGGACGAGAGGACGAAGGGCTGCGAATGAAAGCATGCTACTTTAGATGAAAAGAGCGAAAAAGAAAGAGTGAAAAAACAGATCGTGGGAAACAATCCGCCCCCATGTGTGACTTGTTGACCTGTTGTTTCCCAAAATGCTGTCGGAGCCCTCTCGCCCGCAGTGAACTGTGGGTTCTGCCGATTCTATTGCTACAATGGTAAGGCAATCTGACAAGCAAATCAGTTCGTGAAGGGTGTATATTATATAACGGCAACTTGAATTATTCATCTTTTTTCTAGGATCGATTCAACATTAACAGTCAAATTGAACATTGTACGTAAAATGAAAGGAAACTTTTTGTATGAAATGCATGTATTCAAAGTGAACTCTGTTTATAGTGCAATCGAAATACGTTGGAACTGGCCATGCCGATACGATCAAGTAGTACGTAGTCCTCATAGCACGACGATTGACAAAATGACAGACAGCAATTATTAAAAAAAGACTCTTCTTTCTTCAATGCAATAGTGAATGGTTGACGAATCAACACAGAGACAGTTATGCGTCCTTCATTGGCCACACTCCACTTTTGTCATATTTTGCAACGGCCGAAAACGAATGTACAGCTCGAGTCAAGTTCAATTTGATGGAGGTAATCAAAAAAAAAAAAAGCACACACACAGATCAGACTATCACAGAGAAAAACTAATGGGTTTTTTTATATTGTAGAAAATGTTGCAACCCTGTGGACCTCCACCTGCACGAGAAGAGCATTAGAATAAGATTATGGGGGGGATGTGGTATAATATACAAAAGCGTATTATTCTCTCTTTCACTCGAATCAATATCACTTCTCTTTGGGTGATTCGGACAGCATTTGTATGTTGGGCTTTTCTTTGGGTTGAGCTGTATTTGATGGAATCACAATATCATCCTCATCGTCGTCGTCATCGTCACTACCGTTCATAGCGTCGTCGTTGTCTTCTTGTTCACTGTCGGACGATGATCCACCACCCTTGTTCTTTTTCTGTTCAAACACACCGAGACCGAGATTCTAAATTGCTTTTTGTCAGTCGCGACACACGCCATTCCATCCTTTCAATCCCTTTTTTTTTTACCATTTCAATATATTGCTCTTGATCATCTTCCACATTCTCAATATCCAGTTTCGATGTATCTTGCTTTGTCAACTGTTCATTGGCAGACTGCATTTGTGGCAAAAACGATTGAACCTTGGCTAAAACTGGAGTAGTGGTTAATTAAATATCCCAGGTCTTTTACTCTCTCTCTGTGTAGGTCAATCTTACTATCATTATTGACGCCCATTTTGAACATTTTCGGCTTTTCTTTGGTTAATTCTGGTGCTGCTTCTTCTGTTGTGGTCTCTAACACGTCATTCTTTTTCTGTTCATCGCTTGCTAGTAATTTTGCTATACCGGTAATCAATGTTAATAAATCAAAAGAAAAAAAACCGAGATCACTAGAGGTTGGGATTTCCAATAAAACAAAGCGTTTTTTTTTTCTCCTTGGCTCCTTATACCTAACGTTTGTTTCCGTCCGGGAATCTTGAGTAGATCAGAAGAATGTGGAGTGCGATCGTCCATTGTGCTGTTTAAAAGGATCGAAAACTTTTTTTTTTTCGCGGCAGCACAAAAAGAGGGTGTAAATCCAGAAAAAACACCGACAACGCATGAATTTTTTTTTTCGGAATGCTACAGCCATTTCCCCCCAATAACACAACTATGACAGCCAGAAAATCCCATGACAATTAGCCGACGATGACTGCCCTAACAACCTACGTTTGTAAAGGAAAACGGTAACGTAATACTGTGTCTATGGAGATTTGCTATTAACAGCTGCGTTTACAGGACTTTCATTCTACAATACCAGCGGCATTGGAGTATGCAGCATATCTAATCAAATGGTCTTACTGCTGTGTAGGTCTGTTTGCAGCATAGTTTGCAAAGAACAGCTACTTGTCTATTATGAGAGTGCACATCATATCATCAAGACGGGTGAAACACAACGGGTTACGGACTGTTAAAGAGCTGGAGAAGAATCGGTAGTACAAAAAGCACGCAATCGGCTATGCTGGTTGGATCTATCTTGTAATAAGGTTTAGACAAGAAACCCTTTCTTTTCTTTCTACTATTTAATACTCTTTTTCTGGCCTTTTTTTATAGTTCTTTTTAAAAACTTTCCATTATAAACATGTCAGAAAAGAAGCAAGTTTCAGCTGCTGCCGACTTTGTTGCTGGCAAGTAAGTTGATATTAATAAGCCCCCAGTTTTTGGTCTTTTTTGTTTTTTTGCTGGAGCGACTGGGAATGACAGATCTCGGTCCCTGAATGGTTATTGGTGTTTTTCTAAACATGAGAAAATCAATTATAGCATGAGCGGCATGGCGCAAGTCATTGTCGGACAACCGATAGACACAATCAAAGTAAGACTGCAACTGGATCATACACGATTTAATGGTGCCTGGGATTGCGCTGCACAAACTATCAGAAAAGAAGGTTTCTTTGCCCTGTATAAAGGTAAAAGCTTTGGTGGGTGAGTAAAATATCAAAAGAAGCAAAAGACTCAAGGAAATATATTTATCTTAGGCATGGCAAGTCCCCTCGTGGGTATTGGTGCAGTCAATGCTGTGTTATTTGCAGCCAACTCGTCTTTAAAAAAAGCCATGCAAGCCTATCCGGGGCAGACACTGACGATCGGACAAATCGCCTTGGCAGGTGCAGGAGCGGGCATTGTGAATTCGGCACTGGCATCGCCGGTAGAGCTGTTGAAGATCAAGTTACAGGCACAATACAGCACAGAAGGAGCAACACAACAATTCAAGGGTCCGATTGACTGTGCCCGGCAACTGATCCGGAACGACGGCTTTACTGCCTTGTTCCGAGGCATGTATGTCACCATCCTGCGTGAAATTCCAGCCTATGCCGGCTTTTATTCTGGATACGAAATCATGAAGCGATACTTGACCCAAGGTCAGGAAGGCGACGCGACGATCTTGCAGTTGATGGCGTCAGGCTCGGTGGGTGGCATGTCGTATTGGTTGGCATCGTATCCACTGGATGTTGTCAAGTCGGTCGTACAGAATCAAAATGGGCCGTTGCCACGGGGCCTTTATGTGACAAGGGTCATGAAGGAGATTGTTGCTAGGGAAGGTACCCGAGGTCTTTTCCGTGGACTTGCTCCTGCTGTCGTTCGAAGGTAAACTATGATTTTCCCATTGTCTTTGACACATGACACACGCAAAATTCTCGTTATTAAATACATTTTACACTTTGCCCCCTCAAATAGTATTCCTGCCGCTGGCGCTACATTCACAACATACGAACTATGCATGCGTACATTCAGCTCATGGTCATAAAAGCAATAAATTTTAAAGTTAATTTTTGTAGTCTATTTTGCTTTTTTCCAAAATTTACAAACAAATAAATTAAAAAACGAAAATCAAATAACAGGGAGAAAAAATTGTGCGTGCAGTTGTTGTTTCTAGAAAATGTGCAAATGTGTGTGTGTGTGTGTGTGTAAGTGTACGTGAGTTGAATTGAGAGTTGAAAATATGTATAAAACAAGGTAATAAAAAAAATGGATCGGTGTGCAGAGGGAAAATGAAGGGTATCCGCTGCTCACTGTCTTTCATTCTTTTATGACTGTTGTTGTTGTTGTTGTTGTTGTGGATTAGGCGAATCAGTAGTAGAGTGCGTGTTCTGTGGTTGTTCGCTAGCTGCGTTGGGTGTAGTAGTGCTAGTAGTGTTGGTGTTGTGATGTAGCGCAGCAGTGCAGAGTTGCGACAGACGTGCGTACTTGGATCCATCGTCATCTTCGGTGTTTGCTTCTGGAGGCGTGGATGTTCCCGAGGAAGTCGATGCGCTTGGCACGGGTGTCATTGGCTGAGGCTTCATAAATCCGTCCTGCAGTTCCTTGATTTCCGGCAAACTTCTCTGCTGCTGCTGCTGCTGCTGCTGCTGCTGCTGCTGTTGTGGAGTTTGTTGCTGTTGCTGGTGTGGGTGCTGCTGCTGCTGCTGCTGCTGCTGATAGTAGAGATGAGCTGGTGAGCTAGCACCAGAACTTTGTTGCTGATGGAGTACATGGTCACCAAACGGACGCGATGATTGTTGATGGAGTAGACTGTAATGCTGCTGAGGCACAGGCGAATGCTGAGCAGCAGCATACGCCTGCTGTTGTTGTGGTTGTTGTTGTTGTTGTTGTTGCTGCTGCGGTTGATGCTGTTGGTTGTCCGTAGCGCCTGGCATCAGGACAGGATAGCCCATCGACTGGTACATTGGGTTCACAACATACGATTGCGGCATCATTTGATCCTTGTGATACGCAGCTGCATAGGAGCCATACGGGTCATACGTCGTGGGCTGGCCATACTGGTTCAAATTGCTGGGATAACCAAAAGCCATCGAGGGAGGACGCATGTATGGCGACTGATGGCTCGCTTGTGCAGGCTGTGGTGGCTGATGCGAGTCGAGCAACGAGCTGCCTTCATCCTTGCGACTGTTGCCAGCCGAGGAAACCGACGCACGATCGCTGCCGTCCTTTGTTCTTCTCTTGTATGGGCCGCGCTTGATCCCTTTCTTCCGCTCCTTGCGTACGGAATTGACACACGTGTCGGCAATACCGTACTTTATGCATCGTGGGCAAGGACGAGCGTCATCACATTTTTTGCAGGCCTTTTGACAGTTTGCTAATAGAAAATTCCCCGTTTTAGTATATAAAATTTTTTTTTGTCTCTCTCTCTCTCTCTCCCGGGATTTATTTAATTTTTTCCCAGTAAACGACTACTGCTATCACATTTAAAAAAGTGCTTACTGCATGCGTTCTTGACCTGCTTGCGCTTCGGGGGCTGCTGCGACTGGGCTATTTCACCTAGCGCCTGATGGGGTAAGGGCGACATGCCATTAGTATGGGTCATCATTGGAGGAGCGGCGGTGGTGAGGACAGATGAGGGGACGGGCGATCCGTTGTTGGAGTAGGAAGCAGTGGCCTGATAGCCTTGCTGATAATAGGGCATAGACTGCATTGCTGGGAATTGGAGATTGTTACGAGATCTGTCAAACTTGTTGTTTTTGTGTTGTTTGTATTGAAGCGGAGAGGCAAACGAAAGCTTAACCAGGAGAGTGTGTGTGTGAGAGAGAAAGAGAGAGAGAGAAAAAAAGTTGTACTAAGGTGGCAAAAAAAAAAAAAAAGGCCCTGTCAGCGTGGGTTTCACATGCAGCCCAAATATGTAGGATGACATTTTCTCTCTCTAGTTCTTCTGAACACACACCCCCCACTCATAGTTCCATCCATGACAACCGCAAATCATTCACTACCCCGGTTGCTTAGTGATAACCCTACCTGTTGCTACCCAACCTCTTTTCTCGGGGGATGTACACGAACGAAACAAAAAGGAAAAAAAAACACAGGAAGGAAAGGAAAAAAGAGTTTGGACTGCGGCGCTATAAGCTGACTTTTGACTTTGTGGAATAAAATGGAAAACAAGAAGGGGGTGGTGTTCGAAGCAAAAAATATAATAAGCGACCGGGTTGGTAGTGAATGGAAAAGCAGAGTCACCGAACTGTCTGTGCGGGAACGAGCGTCAAGGAGAACTTTGACCTTTTCCCCCCCCCACTCAATTCCTTCCACCCCAGGACGAGATAATAAAGAGAACATGGCTTTTGCCTACCTGGAAAGAGGGTCTCGCTCTCGAAACTGATAAGGAAGAAAAAAAAAGAGAGAAAGAGGAAAGAGGAAATTACCTTGTCTCTTTCTTTTGAACTACCAAAAAGAAAAAAAATATAGCCACCAATTACCTGGCGGAGTTGCACCAGGGGTTTTTTTTTTGCTGTTTTCAATGAACGGACCAATGATATCCGCAGAACATCTTCACATTTGGTTATGAGCTTTCTTATTTAGAAGGCAAGAATGACGTTGTTCGAGGTTTTTCATGAAATAGGGTTGAAACGAAACGATGTTCCTTGGGTAATATGAGCGCGGGAAAAGAGTAGTAAGCGCCTTCCTTGCCCCTTCGCCCCCTTTTTTTAAATATTTTCTGCTTGGAGCCCCCTTTCCAGGCTTTCGGAACCAGGCGGTTTTTTTCAACGTCAGAACGTCACAGAGAGAACAGAGTAGAGAGAAAGGGATGTGTGTGTGTGTGTGTGTGTGTTGCTTGTTGATAGGAAAGAGCTGCCACAGGTGATCGGCTGTCACTGTGATTCTCCGGTTGGAATGTATGTAACATGCTAATTTGACTAATGTGTTGGCGACACAAAAAGGATGCAGCCCTGTTGCATATTAGGTCACGGGCTTCTCTGCGGTTTGTTCCCATGACAACTTGTCATCAGGTCAACGAATGGCCTCACTTGCTAGTCCCCACAGTCAACTCCCAAAGCTGGCTGTAACATTAAACCACACACTACAAAAAGACTCTCAGGACACAAAGAAAACCCCGACTGGAAATGTTACAAGTGTTACGAAGATAAGCCTAAACGATGTACCTTCATTTGGTGCGTTTCCCTCTCTTCTGTCACGGGGAAGAGGGCTACCAATGGCATGACCACTCACACACATTCAGCCCAAGAGTTGCCGTATCGATCAAGTTGAATGCCAAAACCATACAATTTCCCCACCCTTACGCAATATACACGCGTCTTGTATTGTTGTATTCAAGTGGAGCTTCGAGCTGCTTGAATAGGTTTGCGGCAATCCAGCGAAACATATTTGTCTGGCTGTCGTCCGTGAGCGTTCCGATCAATCCGATCAATAAGATGAGTAAAAGCAGCGCCGCCTTATTTTTTACAACTTAGTACTACTACTAGGCATTATATGCTGGACCAGTAGTAACAAACGCCATACATCTACACCTATACACCGTCTCCCTTGGATAAGATTTCCTGCAATATCAGTAGTGGGTCTTTGTGGCTGTTACATACTCTACACTGATCGCTATTTATCTTTACAAGTGCTCACAGCTAATAACAGATCATCACACATAACATTCAAAAAATCAGTAACTCGTTGTTGCAGCACCATTACATGGGATTGTGAGACTGGTATCTGCTGAACAATAGCCAGTGCACTGATGACAAGCTTGTGTGTTGTGCCACCCTATCATGAGGCAATAACATATCAACTTGACATTGAATGCCACACCATGTGGAGAACACTTTTTCTCTGTGGATCCATCATAACAATGATGATCGTAGGGTACCACAGGATATCCGATATATACAGTGTATCTTAAGGGAAAACTCAATGGGCAAAAGCTGCATAATCGGGCTATTGCTTTCTTGCTCCGTTCCAAAAAAAAAAAAAAAAAAAGGTACGGGTTCAATGACGAAGCGGCGAACCAACGTTTCTGAAAATCCCGTACCTGTTCTTCCCCCTCATTTGCCCAAGGTGTTGTCGTTTGCTGGAATCAAATTCGATGCATGCATGATTGCGTCCCGAACAGGCTACTACTACATGCTGACGATGATCGGGTACTTTACAACAACAACATGCAAGTTGCATCTAATACAATCTCCGGTCTAGCCTATATGCCTCATTGCAACAGCACCCGCCCCCCCCACCATCCTGATCGTCCCCTTCCTGGTTGATCATTATCTGGGTGCCTTGATAAACAAAAACAGTCTTTATGTTCAGGTAATTTGCATTTTCTTCGACGTATATTGAAAACAACCGCTGCTGTAAGCAATAGTATTGCCGGTTACTGCTCGGTAAATCCAGCATGATTGTAAGCGTAATTTTCCATGTTTTCTACAACCTAGAATCTTCAGCCAAGGTCTACTACTACTACTACTACTACTACAACACTTGCCATGTTGGTATTGACGAACGCTTTGGATAAGGATTATGGACCTTTATTACCATGTAGACTGTTTGCTGCACGAGGTCATGTGTGCTAGATGATGAATGCAGCAAAAAGGGCGAAAAAATAAAATAAAATGAAAAAACACAGACGTTATTATCATTGATTCAATGAGGACTTTGCTGCTGTTGCCAGGAAACAGCTGTTTTGTGTCAAAGAACATAAAAGAAGGTGTAACAGCAACAACGGGTGGCTCGGTATGACAATGCAAAGGAAATAGGGTACGGTTTGCCTGAAGGGTGTATTGTTGATGTTGTACAACGTGTAGTGTGTATGCTCTTGTGTACGTGTAAATATAGAGAGAGAGAGAGAGAGAGAGAGAGAGAGGGCACGACGGATGAGAGTATAAACATTCCATTGACCGACGACGACCACGACGACGACGGCAAATGAGGGAGCCGAAAATGAAAGAGTGCCGGTTCTTGCATGTAGCATTCGGCAACCCATGACGCGGGTGCGTCACCTATTTCCACACAACAACTACAGCAACAGCAGCAGCAACAGCAGCATCAGCTTAAGCTTCTCTCTATGAGAAGGCGGGCCCCTGATACCATTCGAGGCACTTGACTCTCTTTTTTCTCTTTGCTTTTCTTTTCTTTTCTTTTTGGCTCTCTTCTTGCTTCTTTCTTTTCCATTCTGTTTTTTTCTGTTCCTCTTTCCCTTTCTCTCTCTCTCTCTCTTGTGCTAGCATTCTCTATAGCTGTATCGCATAGCATATACACCTGCCTTCAACGTAACCTGGTAACAAGTGGATATAGCTGGGTTGCGCGTCATCCCATCCATTCAATACTCTGAGAGAGATCCCGGAACGACAAACGAACCCCCATCTGCTTTTTTCGCGAAAACCAACGATAAATAGCGTTTTTTAGTTCAGGGCGTACGAAAACACAAGGGAGAAATATATATATATATAATAAAAAGAGGTGAGAAAACAAGAGTGTGGAACGGTATCACCAAGGTGCCACCTTCTCGGTCCGCAGGGCTGTCATTTTTTTATTATTCTGGAAGTTAAAGAAGCGACCCTTTTGACACTTTTTCCTGGTGGCTCTTTTGTGTGTGTTTTAGAGACATAGCTAAAAGAAAAACAACAACAGGCCATGACAGAGCTGTGCCATGGAAAACCGATTGTGCGGCTGCCCAAGAAGCGGGGAAGCATGATGACAACGGATCGTATTGCCATGACGACTAAACAAGGACAACAACCGCCGCCGCTTCGCGAGGCATTGGTGTCGGACAGGCTCTACACGGAAGGAATTCCGTCGACGGTATCGGAGAATGATATTATGGACCTGGTGCAGAGCTGTGACCCGGTAGAGTAAGTCCCTCAGCTCTTCCTCTTCTCCCTTTGATTTGCATATCCTCAAAGCTCGTCTACTTACAACGGCAACCAGGGTTAGGCTCAATCGCTTAGACGGAACGGGCTACATTCAGTTTCCATCCATTGATAAAGGTAGACCAAAATCGTCCATGAAAAGAAAGCCATATTTAAAGTAAACAACCCCCACTCAAAAAAAAAATGGTGTTGTTTGTTTTTTCTTGGGGGTGGGGGAATCAGCTGACCGAGCGTACACTTTGTTCAACGACGCCACTCTAAAGAACCAAGTATCCTTTCAGCTAAAGATCGCACCGCCGGGTGACTATCAGGAACCAGAAGCCACGTCCGGGATATATCAGATACGGAACCTCCCACTGGGCACCACGAACCTCCTGCTGTATGAGTTTTTCCGTCCGTTTGGGCCCATGAATCTGTGCAAGATCATTATGGATCAAGGCAAGGGATTCAAGGGCACCGCACTTGTTCAGTATTTCGATGCAAACGACGCAGAAATGGCAGTGAAAACAATGGTATGGTACACTTGGAAAGATTCCCCAGAGCGATTATGCTTGTACAGAGCGTGAAAAAAAAAAGTTGTCATTCGATGATGAGTTCTTAACAAATAAAGGATGGCTTGTAGAACAACAAAAATATCCAAGGCCACACCATGTAAGTTGCACATCTTTTTCTTTCCCCTTTCAAAGAAGGACCCGGCCAACCTTAAAAAATAAGCAACTAAAAGTAAGCTCTCTCTTTTGTATTTAAACAGCAACGTCTTTCCATTTGTGTCAAAGAAAGGGCGGCCCCACTCTTCAGAAGTCATGACGCTTCTTCACCAGCAACCACTACAACAACAACCACTCGCACCTTCTCCTGTAAGTTGCTGGGAAACACACACTCCATGGATAGAATACTCATGAACGGACATATTCTTCTTCTTGATAGACCAAGGCACTGAATGGCAGCAGCAATGGCAGCGGCACCGGTGGTAACAACGGGAGCACGGTGGACTACACCAATCTGTACATCAAAAACCTGGATCTGCAGGTCAGAAGCTGCGACCTGTTCAAACACTTTCGACAGTACGGACACATCATTTCGGCCCGGGTGATGAGGAACCCGGAGACGGATCAATCAAAGGGATTCGGATTTGTCAGCTTTGGCAGGGCCGAGGAGGCACAGCGGGCACGAGAGGAGATGAACAACAAGTACATCCTGTCGAAGCCTATCATTGTTGCATTCCACGAGCCTAAAAAACCGCGAACCGAGAAAAACGGCCGGTCGCATGACATGGTCAGGCGCTTCTCCACACCAGGCATCCCTGCGCATCCGCCACCGCCTTATGTCCCCGTCGCTCCCACCATACCCGAGTACATTGACTACTCCAAACCATCGCCCCAGCCTGGTGCAGCACCGCCGCCGCCGTTAGCACCATCATCACGACGGCCGCTCACCACCACAACGACCCATGTGAACGCGGTCGTCACTGAAAAGTTCCCTGGCATCAAGAAACGCCATTCCACAATGACGCACATCCCTCCTGTTTCTGCTGCTGTCACCCCAACAGCTGCAGTACACACCAGCAGTCTCTTTGCACAGCATCCACAACCCCACTATACCAATAATCACTATCAACAGCAGCATCATCATCATCATCATAACCCACACCAGCATCCTTTCCAAAAACAACAAACAAAGCCGCCTCCGGCGCCGACGCTACGCCGTCGTAGCTCCAATGAATCGGCATCCAGTGCCATGACCGAAGCAACACCAGGCCTACAAAAGCAACGCATGACAGACGCTGTGATCCGTATCGGCATCAAACACAACGTCGAGGACATTGTGTTTATGCTGTTGACGCTCAAGCGCAAGGAACGATCCCTCTGCTTGTTTAACCAAGATTTCCTCAGAGAGCAGATAAAACTGGCGAAATCGGCGCTCGAGATATTCAAAGACGACGATGATGACGATGATGGGTCCACTGGCAATGCGAGTCCACCTACGCCCATCGTCGGGCAACCACCACTGCCCATCACAATCACTGCACCACCACCGCCGCTGCCGGCAACAACAACAACAACGCTGCGTATTTCGCGCGCCATCCCTATCGTTGCCCCGTCACCAGCACAACCCATGTCAAGCACAAACCTTGACAAACTGGCACGCCTTGCGCCAAACACAATCGACAAATTTCTCGCATCCATTGAAGGACTTCCGCTTACCCAACAAAAGGAAAAATTGGGAGATCAGCTCTTTCCTCATGTCAAGGTAAACAGAGTAGACAGCAGATAAACAAAAATAAACAAACGATGGCAGGTTACTAACACAAGAGTTTGGGGGGGGGGCAACTAGGCAACGGGCGTCAGACATGCACCAAAGATCACCGTTCGTCTCCTGGATACCATACCGCTGGATGAGTTGGCGCGTACAATGCACGATAAGGTGGCACTGAAAACAAGGGTGGATGCTGCTGTGGCATCGTTGCAGCAATAAGCAGTGCTGGACTCGAGAGATATAAGACGACGATATACAAAAACAACAACATCATCCCCTTCACAAACATATCCCCCTCTCCCATCTATATATACTTTTGTACAATTTGCATACTTCATCGAATCCGTGCACACATAAGCACATATAAAAAACCACATTTTATTTCGTTCATTGGTGTGTTGACACTCACTATCTTAACGTACTACTATGAAAGAAACAAGCAGTGTATTGCGCAATATCCTCAGGCAGTGTGAATACAATTGAGAAACCCACATACAACAATTCGGGTCTTCAAGATTAGCTGTCATCACAGGATACATGCGCGCAAAAACCACTCACTGATCTTATCTAATCCCTTTACCCCTTGACTCACACCCTGAGATGTATTTTATACCACGACGCACAAGAATAAAAAAAAAAGAAACCTGATATCACTTGACGAAAAGTCTTCGTTTATTACAGTCGCCAACATTGAGGGCTTGTACACAAAAAAAAGGTACAACTATCCAGTTGGGACCAGGTCCAAATGACTTGCTTAGGCAACCAAAGTAGAGGCAGTAGCAGACTCACTATTAGAAAGAAAGAAAAGCAGATAGAGTGGTCAAGGTAGACATTTACCGAGCAAAGCTATTTTTTTTTCGCTGAACTCTGACGTAATGTCCGATATAGGCAGAAAAGCTTCTTTTTTCACCCCAACCCACACACACACACACACTTTCTTATTTGCACCATAGCATCATGCGTGCAGCGTTTGAATTCAAAAAAGGATACTATTTCCAGTTGGGGGGCAACTGGCCAGCGGTCTTGTAGTAACGTGCGAGACGGTGGATACGCGACTCGACCAAGATCAAGCGGTACTTGGAGTCCTTGTCCTTGCGGTTGCGCTCCATGTGCTTGCGGATGGTGACCGACTTCTTGATGAGGTGGTACAAGTCCTCAGGGATCTCGGGAGCGAGACCGTTGGCCTTCAAGATACGGACAATCTTGTTGCCAGTGACGGACTTGACCTGGGGAATGCCGTGGGAGTCACGGAGGATCAAGCCAATCTGGGCAGGGGAAAGACCCTTCTTGGCGTTCTTGCAGATGAGATCGGCAACTTCCTCAGAGTTGGTCTAATTGAAATGTATATAAGTTGGTTTTTTTTTTTTTTTTAGTTTCTCTTCCCAATCGGCAAAAAAGAAAACAAGAAAAGCTTTTACCTTCAACCACGAGGGGGAAGAGCGACGGTAGGGGAGGGCACTACCAGAGATACCCTTGCCAGCACAGTACTAATACAACAAATAGCATACAATGTAAGTATATTATTGAAATGAACACTTTATAACGTTTTTTGTCCTTACCATACGACCCATTTTGAAATAAGAACTTAAACGGTTGACGCTAAAAAGAGGAAGTTCATACAAGTCAAGAAAAAATTTGATTTTTAAAAAGGCATGGACCGTCACAAAAAAAAAAAAAAAAAAAGTCAGCCAGAAGAAGAAAAATTAGGGCAAGCCACCAGAGCCACTAGCCCTTGCCGTTTCAAAAAAATCACGGAAACGGATTTCGGAAATTACTTTCTCCGAACGGTCAATCATATAACCGAACCAAAATCCCGTTTTTCAGTTTTGGGTAGTTTTGGGTTTTTTAACTTCTTCCTCAAAATGGAACCGCAAAATCAGCAACAAATCCAATCCCAAGAAACACCCGAGCAACCTCAATTGAAAAGATGCAGTAATTGCAAATCTTATCGCCCTTTGCTATTTTTTGTTGGCAATAGACAAGATTACAACACGTGTAGAAAATGCATTGAACGCCAAAGTGACGTCGGTAAACCAATCGCAGAGCAGTTACTCCTGACAGTGGACGAAGTACTCGACATGATTCCTTCGCGTCAAAGTTTGAGGAACGTAGCCGACAGTCTCGAAGATTACAGCCTCGACGCGTATGTGCAACTTGACGACGATATGTTGGCGTTGTCAGATTCGCAACTTGTGATCAACATCCGCGATCGTATCCAGGCTGTTGACGGATACCATTACTACGAAGCATACCGAACAGAACCACGAAGAAAGTTCGGCTATTCTTTCCTTTTTCGATGCTCGCAAGATTTTGATGTGCAGGGTCAAGCTGCCATTCGTTTACGATTGTATCGGCGTATGGCAACTTTCTTGTGCAATGGCCGCATCAGCGGCATGGTCGATAGAGTGAATGGTTACTTTCACTTGAATATCGAACACTCCTGTGGGCATAGGGCTGCACCTGCCGTCGAAAATTACGCCGTCCCGCAAAATGTACGTGCATACATCGCTGCAAATGCCATCGACTTGGATGCACAACAGCTGCATCGTAACATTATCCGTCAGTTTCAACAAGAAGCGACAAGAATAACGCAGGGGCAAGTGTATTACTGGGCGTGCCAGTCGATCCAAGACCAATATACACTGCACAACAACCAGTTCAGATCGGCAGAGATGCTCGTCGACAGAGCCGCTGACAAGGGTGTCCGTAAGGTATGTCAAAATGTCCCTACTACTTAATATTTAATACATGTGAGGATCGTGTATACAATCACTTTAACGCGTTGAGAAATAGACAAGAACCACTTATAATATAATCAATAAAATTCAATAACCAATAAACAGATTTTCACCTCAGCACAAAGCAATTACTCGGCTATTGGTTTTACCATGCCATTATTTGATGTAATTTGCGGATCACAGCAACTAGCAGAGGAATACCATGTCGATTCTACATACAAAACAAACCGAGCAGGATACGAACTATTTGGGATAGTCGCAACTGTAAACGGTGCCGGGTTTCCGATTGCATACATGCTTCTGAAGCTTACACCACAGAGTCAGCTAGTAAACGATGGCGAGGATGACACATTTCGTGTTGGTGTTATTGCCGAATTTTTTGCATGCTTAAAGCAAGCTGGTCTTCAACCCAAGTTCATGTTTACGGACAAGGACTGGGGACAGATCTGTGCTATAGAAGCAGTCTGGACAAATAGGAGAGTGCTTAGACTATGTCTGTGGCATCTCGTTCGCTCGGTGAAGGAACGCTTAGCAGAACCCAAAACAGCAAGACCGCAAAATATTTCAGACGAGGCTCGAGTCGGGATTGTTTGTTTTGCGTAAACTGTTGCAGTTTAACGCGCATAATTTGAGTATATTGTTTTTGATCGTGATTATGGATGATTGGATGTTTGGCAAATGGGATACGTAAAGTCGTTGGGTCGCGTCTTAGTGAGACGACGACCCAGGCGTACTAGTAGTGATAGCTTTATCTGCGTTGTCGGTCAGCATAACTTGTCGGTTACTGCGCGTCTTGTATGCCGTTGGTGGTGTGACACGTGCTTCCAATAAGGCGAGCAAAGTCATTTGATCACGGTGAGACATGGATTCGAGGACCGAGCGATTGTGTGCAGACATGGGCCATGCCTTGTACCAGGATGGCGACGCTTCTTTGGTTTCGAATTGATCGGCCCAAATACGGTAAGCATCAGGACGTGCAGCCTTTTCTTGTTCGATATTGAGTAGGGCAGCATCGACTACTTCGACAGTAGCTTGTGGACGTGGGACAGAGGTATGTTCGCCTTCCTCTGTGTCGCTACCCACGTTGTAAAGCGAATCGGAATCGGAGACGGAGCTCCCGTCGGATATGTGCATTTCAGTATCAGAGGGATCCGTGGTGGTGTGTTCTGGCTCTTGCACGACAGTAGCCTTGCTGACCTTATGACTCACATCGGTAGAATCGGTGTTACGCTGTGCTACTACTTTGCTGTTGTCTGTAGCCTGGGCGGTGATAGAGATGGTACTCTTGGTCTGACGGTCGGCGTTGCGGCGACGCTTGTTAGTTTTCCCTTTGTAGCTGTTGGGGTTGTCCGGGCAGCCGGCCGAAATGTGCCCGACATGTCCGCAGGTCCAGCAGGCACGATATGCCTGAGGGCGTTCCGGGCAGATGCGAACATGGTGGTCGGGTTTGTGGCAACGCGAGCAATGTAGAGCCATGGAGGCCCAGGTGGCGTAGAAGCACTCTTCAGTTGTTTCCCATTGAACACGGTGTGCGAGGTCATAGTAAGGTTGCTCATCTCGTATAGGTTGGCGGTCCAGCACCGCGAAGCCATTGCCTAGGTACATGCCGGACACGGCGTCTCAATAGATGCCGCAGTCTAATACCTTGCCGTATACGCCCGCGACTAATGCAGTGTGGTTCCTGTAGGGGAGATGGGATAGGTGCACTTTCTTGATCTGGGCATCTCCTGATAGAGTGTTGCAGGCGAGAATGATAACGCCGTCTTTAAAGTGAAGTCCTTGGGTTAAGGCAGCTTGAATCACTTCCGGGTCCTCAGAGTAGAGCTCGATGATAACGCGAGAGCCTTCTTGGATTGATTGCGCACCACAATTCTCGGGGAACTGCTGGTTGATGGTGGCAAGAATACGCGGGATTGGTTCGGTACGGCTACTAACGTCGAAGTAGACACTGTCTGCTGAGGCGGGTGATCCACCAACACGCCAGATGTTGGAATGGATAACCCGAGTAGTGCGGGTGTTGTTTTTATCGTCAAGCAATTCTCTAGTCTCTGATTCTTGTCGCATGAGCGACTGTCGATGTTTCTGAACGACTTTGGCGTATGAAAGTCGAGGAACGTTGAGTTTTTGCGGTTTTGGGGGCGATTGGGGTGAGGCAGGGCTTGTACCCTGCCGGGTGTGATTTTTGTGCGGAAGAGCCATGATGCAAATAGATGGAATAACATGGATAAGACGAAATACATAGTATGGGTTTGAAAATTAAAAATGCCAACTTGCTGTACTTAGGAAAAACGTCCACATCAACTAGCTTTTATAACTTTAAAACTAATCACACAGAACGAACGCGTCAGAGAATTGATCTTTCAGCGATAACTTGGTGGACTTCATTATCGTCACTGTCGACGGTAACGCAATTGCAATAGTCATACGCAAAATCCGAGATGTACCTTTTTTACGCATGATATTCCACGTCTATATAATCAAGTGTCACATTGAGAGGCAAAAGCTTAGGGTTGGTCCCTCAACAACCATGACATACAACTAAGCTTATATAAAGTCTTTTTGTCCCAGGGAAATATTAGCGTAGTATACCGCAAATTGCCACATACTCTTTCTTTTGAGCAGTGTTACTATTAAATTGAGCGCAGTGACTTCATATTGATTTAGCCTCTCAACTTTTGATGCGACACCATAACCCTTCGTCGGGTACCTTTATCCTCCTTACTGGGAGGATAACACTCTCATTAATTTTGGCTTGAATGCTACAGCGCACAAAATAGCACGATCATTTTCTATACAACAAACGCGTCAATGTTTTCCCGTACTTGTGTGCAGCGGAAGCAATTGCAGGAAATTCATGCATCGGGAACTTGCCTTCCCACGAGTCCTGTACAAACTCTTTACTCCTTCCCGTTCATTCTTTATCCATTCATGACACATTAGCAATAGGTTATCAAAAGAAAGGGCAGGTCTTTAGCTTTAACATGATACTAATATCATGTACAATTACGACGATAATTGCGGCGGAATATTGCTTTGGAAATTGCCTAGTCTTAAAAAGACGATGCCAGGTTTCCCTTCACCGTGTCTAAAACTTGTTTCTCCAACAATCGAATCTGAAGCATGCAGTTGGTTCGTGTCAGTTGCGACAGTGACCTCTTCTTCCTTCCTTTTCATATAAACTGACTATGTTCGTCATTCAGCAAAGAAAGATTCATGTAGAGCAGAGCCGTGGCTATAGAATGATGCCAATATTGATACAATCCTCGAATAATAAACGACGACACTATAGCTAATAATGTAGAATGGTCAATGAAAAACGATCGTTTTTCTGCCGCACTGTTGACTGAAACATGCATTGTGCTCTTTCTTAATGTTGACCTCATCGCCTATGCGCTCGTTTGGCTATTGGACAACAGACAAATCACGCAATTGCCAAAGAATCTAATCGATTTTCCAATTATTCACAACGAGTCTTGTATAAAAAGGTACGCGTACCCACCCATCCATAGTTCTTTGGCCTCTTCTCTTCCGCTTCTTTCTCCTTCTCTTTCTCCTTCTCCTCCTCGTCACCAACTGTACGTATAACTCTTGGGAAACGGGATCCATCGCATGGCCGTGCGTGTGGTAGTGTGCATGTCTGTCAAGAAGTATCACGACGACTCACGATCAAATCTCTTGCTTTCTTTCATTTCTATAGCCGTCTCCTCCTCGGCCTCGCCCGGTTACTGCTTTAAAGGAGGAGAGAAGCAAGAGTGTACATGGTGTGTGTCAAAGATGATGATGACTGTGCTATTGATTACTCACGATCGAGCCTCTTCTTTTTTTTTTTTTTGATAGCTCTGTCTCTTGCTCTTGCTCTCTCTGAACCGGTTAAAGGAGAGAAGCAAGAGTGTACATGGTGTGTGTCAAAGATGATGATGACTGTGCTATTGATTACTCACGATCGAGTCTCTTCTTTTTTTTTTTTGATAGCTCTGTCTCTCTTGCTCTTGCTCTCTCCGAACCGGTTCAACTTGGATAAGCGATGTAACTTGATGTACGGCAACACGCAAGGAACAGTGGCACTAGTACGAAAGTACAAGGATGAAAGGGTCGTCGGAGAAGACCGCGGCCCTAAGGTGTACATCACGAGTGGCCGCCACATTGGGCAAGAAGAGGCAAGTTTCCTTTTTTCACGTGCTTTTATTAGTTGTTCTGCTGGCTTAGAGCTTTCTTACTAAAGGACAAATGATACAACGTCAAATAGAATTTCGAAGCCTACATGTAACAAAAAAAGAAGAAATTAAAATAATTTCGATTGCGCAACCCAGTTTGTTGATTAATCATAAATAGCTCTTGTAATCTGTGGTCTTACTTTTTTTTTAGAACAGAAAAGAATAGGGGTGGCATTGTGTTGTTGTGTGTGTTGTGCAGGGTGAATGTGTGGATGTGAGATACATGATGGTATTAGGAAGAAAAAGAAATTAAGCTTAAAGTTTGAGATGAACATGTAAAGTGAAAAAGATGTGTGAGTGAGTTGAATGCAATATGAACTGGGAAAAAAAGGGGGGGTTAATAGTGTGAATTGATGAAATTAAGGAAGCAATGAAGAGGTGTATGGATGAATATGGTGTGTGTGTGCGTGCGTGCGAGTGGAGATGGGTTGTTAATTAAGGCAACAAAGCAAGCGTTGATGATGATGATGATGATGATAATTATTTACGAACGTAACCAAGGATGAGCCAGCACCTGATGGATAGTAGGGCGCTTGGATGCCGATGGGGTAAGCATACAATGGATCAGGTGCATGCACTTGACCGAAACCTGGACCTTTGGCTTAGCGAATCGACCTGCAATTGCCATAGCTGGGTTGGCAAATGGGACCTCTCCAAACAGCATTGTGTAGAGCAGCACTCCCAAGGCCCACACTTCGGCCGGTTCTGCTTGATAGGGCTTGCCAATCAGGATTTCAGGAGATGCGAACGAGACAGTTCCGTAAAACTTGGAATGGAGGCACGTCTTGCGTTGACCATTCTGGCGACGAGGCAGCAGCACAGCCGAGCCAAAGTCGATGAGTTTGACCTGTTCAATATGTGAATGAGTTGAAAAGCAATGTGTCGGAACTACTGATGTATTTAATCCCGGAAGTACAGCACAACTGACAGCAATTCCAAGTATCTACCGCATATTTCAACAAAACAGTGCATTCTAAAGTGAAGGAATCAAGCAGTTATTAAATTGATGTTGGTGACCAGTTCATGTATCCACTTGTAGAAAGAGGCCCACGGAACACTCTTTGGTATAGTAGCAGTGACTGGTTGGCAAGGAATTTGCGTTTAAGGTTACGAGTGCCCCTTCAGCTTACTGCCATGTCACAAGAAGCAAATAACATATCATCAAGGCGCCAAGACCTTACTGGGAAACCGCTGTGATAAACAACATACTTTGGTAGCATACCTCCACATACATAATAATTGGTCCCACCTCTACTCCTTTTTCATTTTCCAAACTTTCTGTTCCCTAACCAGAGCATCTAGCAATTTCCCCAAATACAAGTAGCATTGCAAAATCTCGCATCTTAAATTTATTTTTCGAGTGTATATTTTCAACTATTTGCCAAGATCTTCCCAGTCTTCGGGTGTAGTCAAACCCGCAGTGGTACCTGTAGCTACGGCTGAAGATTTTTCTTTGACAATAGGTTCTTGGTCCCAGGCGTCATTGTCTGCTGTTTCCTTGGTCACGCGCATCCAACCTTCGTCTGAAGATGATGACAATGCGTCAAACATATTGCTCGATGATGATGACGGTCTTTGTTGTTGACTGCCGTGTCCGCTTAGTTCACCCTCATGTCGGATAAGTTGCTTACGCTCGGTCCAAGTGATCTTTCCTTCCTTGTCCACCCAGCAGCAGTCTATACGAGCTGCATTCCCGCTCGCTGTCAAACTGTCCTTGGCCAATTTTTTCAATTCCCAAACGATCCCCTCCCTTTCTTCAATCGGATAGTCATCCACGGTGGGAACAACAAGCACTGCGTCGGCGTCCGTAAGCCATTCCGACGTAAATTTCAGACCATCACCAAAGGCTTCTGCTAATTCCATATCCAGTTCAGACTTGATAAGACCAAAGGCTAGATCCGATAGACATAGTGCATTTACAGGCTGCTTGCTGGATGACGATGACTTGGCACCAGCAGTGGTATTTGGAGGAGGGGGTCGGTTCATGGAAGGATGATGTGCAGCAACTGAAAGCAACGGTGACGGTATCCGTGGTTGACCAAGTGACTTACGAACAACAACGCTGCGATAGGGTTCTGGGTCGACTGATTCAGTGGAAACGTTGAAATGGACGCTATAACGATGGATGAATTTCCGGAAGCCGCTCTTCATAGGCTTGCAATGAAGCACATGTTTGGCTTGGTCCTTGACAAAATCAATAAGCATTGTTTCCATCTGCTTGCACCACCTTAGATTTTCGAGATAGAATTCGCATAAACTGTCGTCATAGTAGCCCAGTTCATCGGTCGATGGAACTGCTTCGTCCAATGGGATGCCGCTCGAAGATGGGGAGGATGATGATGCCGGTGTAACATCACGTTCGATTTCAAGTGCGGACGCCAGTCTGCGGTTTCTTTCGACTTTGGCACAGAAATCGTTACAGCTCAATTCACGTTTAGACCCCATGGTTTCACTGGTTGCGTTACACGCTACTTGGAGTGCGTGTTGACCACATTTGCACGCCGCTTGCACCATCGTTTGGCATGGATCGTTTTCAGGACATGGAGTAAGACCGTGGCATTTCTTAGCGCAGGGATGGTCGCACTTTGCTCGTTTACCGTTACAGATTTGCACGCACGCTTCACCTTCAGCAAGGCAAGGACCGGCGTGACAGGTCTTTGTGCAACGGTGACGGCCACATGCAAGAGGCTTCTCGCAGACTCGGCCGCAGCGAGGGGATCCACGGTAACAAGGGACGTTCTTGAGATCGGTCTTGCCACACACACATTTTCGCGCCACAAGCATCACGCATGGTGGGCACGGTTCGCTGTCCAGGTGACATGGATGCTGCACGAGGCGCACGTGGCCACAAGGTGCCTCGCGAATACATGGATGAGGGCACGGGGGCAATTTGGTGCCGCAGCGCACGGGCGGTTCCAAACGCGTTCGTCCGCAGTGGCAGGTCACTTCGTCGAATGCCGCTTCTACAATCAACAAGACATGTAAGTTAACATATCGCTTATGATACATAAAGCCTAAAATAGTAAAAGTTGAAACTTTACCTAAACAAGGCTGGCAACGGCCCTTGTGACAAGGCTCTTTGCACTCGTGGATGCCACACGACAATTTACGTCCACATATTTCGGGGCAATCGTGTGCAGTTCCTGATTGTCGAACGGATTTCTTTGCACCCTTTTGCTTGTTCGCAGGACAACATTGGATTTTACATTGATGGCGGCCGCAGTTGCGCACTGAACGACAGATCTTGTCACACAATGGCGGTTCGCCACCGGCAACTTCGCAAACACGGGCGCATGTTGCTTGGAAGGTTGACGACTTGCACCGACAGTGTACTTGTACTAACTCTTCGCATGGAGGACATTCACCTAAATGGCATGTTTGATTGCAGGTATGACCACAGGGCAATTGTTTTGCGCATATAGCTGTGCAGGTTGGTATCGGATCTGTACAGGATGTTCGATTTGCTCCATCCAGTAACTTGGTGATACTGGTCGTTCCACATGGACACGTAGTAACAATGGTTGGATCGTACGGGCAGGTGACTAACTTGCTATCTTGAACATGACATTTCTTTTGGCAACGATGCTGGCCGCATTTGAATGGTCTATGCATTAATAAATAATTTAAAATGAGTTACACTGTTTCTTCTTGTAGATCCCAAAAATACCAATAGGAGAAGAATATCTTACCTATTACATATATCATCACATTCGTAGTATCCAACATGATCACCACTCAATATGCCACGCTCACTGCCACATGCTGCCGTACGATCGTGTTTGCCACAATAGCACATTTGTTTCTCTTGAAAAGAACACGGTTTGCATAGTCCCAAATGGCACTTGTCCTCACAAAGATGCTTTTCACATCCTAGTAACTCGCCACACACTTCATCACACGAGTATCCTAGTGCTGTGTAATCGGTATCCACGCAACGGGTTTGCCGAGAGTGTTCACCACAGAAACAAAACATGGTTGGACCCATTGCAGTACATGGTGGACACGGTCCTGGATGGCACGGTCTAACAATATATCACTGTCAGCAAATACACATCTCTTCCATACAGCGTCCAAATACTTACAAAGTACATTCGTGTGGGCAATTCCGGCTCTTTTTGCATAATTGATCACAGGAATGTGGCGTGAGGTATCGACTTTGATCAGGATTACGCTGTTTACCACAGAAACAAATGTAATCCTTAGGTATGGCCTTTCGTGTATGCTGACAACCGGGGCATCGCCATGCCGTCACGGGCTTGTTTGTTTCGGTTTCTATCATTTGAAATCAGTGACCTGTAAGTTATTTTTTTTCTTCCATATCCATCAAATCAAATGCCTTTTACCTTGAAGAGATTTGCTTGCCCATTGCTTAACACAGGACAAATGGAAAACTGCCCAACAACAGTCGCACGACCACGTTTGATGGCCTTGGCGCACAACATCCCAACATACCATGCACTCGTACGATGCCGTTCTGAGATCTTGTGCTAAGCTGCTTGCCAAATCCTTTGGATCAACCTTCTTTTTGACCTCACCCTTTCGTCTAGGGCGTTTGCCCTTATCTTGAGGCCGGTGATTCTTTGTTGTTGTTGACGGAGACGGACCGTCTGGAGCGTCAGTCTCTTGGTTTTCTGTACTAAGTTGACCTTGAGCACGATGCTTTGTAAACTTGGGATTCCGTCGACCTGGTCCACCCTCTCCATTCGTCTCATTGCTGTTGCTATTAGTGTTACGCTGACGATTGCGTTGTCTTTTTTTCTTTTCGTTGTTGACGCCAGCACCCGTTGCTGCTGCAGGCTGTTGATGGGTCGAATGGCTGGCCTGATCAGTCTTCTGCTGCTGTTCTGTCACAGGAGCATCCGATGACTGTGGTTGTTGCTGTTCATTCGGCTTGTTGTTAGTCTTTTTCCGGGGCCGTCGATGGCGTTTTGCAGCTGCAGATGTAGCATCATTGTTATTGTTGGTGTTGCCTTCGGCAGCGGCAGCAGCAGAAGTACCAGTGCCAGTAGCTGCTGAATCAGTGGTAGCCGACTTGTCGGATTTCGGTTTTCGCTTAGGACGATTGTGTTTTCTGGGAGGGCGATTGTTGTCTTGTGCAGGTCCACATTGCTGATTGTTCGAGCTCGTAGAAGCAGAAGCAGTAGAGGCAGCAGTAGTAGGGGTTGTCGAAGTTGTGTCAGTAGTAGTCGCACCACCCATATAGTGTTGTTAATATTAGTAGAATAGAAAAAGAATCCTTGACAAGGAAATCGAAAGAATTTATATGTACACACAACTGAAACACCGACAACTTACCGCAGCAAGGCATTCGTTGCCTGCCGCAGCAATGATGGTTACATAAAATGCGTAGCAAACTGTTTTATTGGTCTTCCCCTTATGCTGATCATGCACCACCATTATTAATGCTACCTTGACCTCCGGTATCGAGCCTAGTTGAATTGTACATCAATATGTGCTCGCACTTTTATATCAATGCTTGGATACTGTGAGAAGAGAACCTACTTGGTAATAACCGGTGTAGTATCCACTATAGTACCATGCCATTATCAAGTTTGCAAATGCTTCATCTGTTTGTTTTTTCAGGTTAATAGCTGTTAGTGGTGTCGCACACTATCCCAGCAGTCTATATATAATATATATTACCTTCACTACTACCACTACTACTGGTTCCTGAAAATGATGGCGGTGGAGGAGGTGGTGGAGGAGCAGTTTGTGGATATTGCGGTTGTTGTTGTTGCTGATCGTAATAGTAGTAATAATTATTATAATCATCGTGGTGTTGTTGTTGCTGGTCGTGATATTCCTCGCCATTCGGTTGGTCTTGCGCATATTCTTGTTCTTCCTCTGCTGCCATTTGTGGAGGAGCCGCTTTAAATGTCTCCGGGACACTGCGTCCATCATCGCCCCCTTCCTCCCCTTCTTGCTCCTTCTGTAAATCAAACGACACGCGCTTTCGCTTGCCAGTGACGCTCTTTTGCTGCTGTTTTGATATTCTACCATTACAAAATCCATAATTGCAAGAAATTGAGTCGAGTTTTTCTGAAGAACTCGAAAACAAAAGCAAAAGGGTGCTTACGCGGTAGCTGACCGTTTTTTGGGTGCGGGTATTAATACTGCAGGATTATCTTCCTTATTGTAGTAACTCTATTGTGTTTGTGTTATACATATTTTTTTTTATAATACCGGGCACTCTTACAGAAAAGAAGACCAGCTTACCTTATATCCTTTGAGTGCAGCATCCCAGTATTGAATCAAATCGGTATCTTGCCAAAGATCGTCATTGTCGTTTTCGTTGTCAACATCGCCATCGTCAACCTATTTTTTTCATTTGAAGTCGGGTTTAGAGGTTAAAAGTGGACGCAGGCTAGGTACGCTGATGTACTGTTAAATACATTTTCTACCGGATCGTCGAGATCGTTGTACTCATTATCGTAAGGTTGCTGATCTGAAGGTGCAGATGTGCCTGCTTCGTTGCTATTCATTAAACGCGATCGTGCGGGGACCTTTTTTTTTAGCGTTGGTGTGTAAAGAGACTCTTTTCCATAATCAGAACCTCCGCTCTCTCCCAAAATTGCTACACATTACCATGCAATGCGAACCAAGCATTTTTGAGCCAGTTGCTATAATCATTTTGCGGCTTCTATAGTTCACAACAAAGAATGTTTGCTCTTTATCACATTCGGGCTCATATGACTGGTACTACTTCGGTGAAAATATAATGTGTCATACGGTTCAAAAAAGTAATTTTACATCGTTGTTTATTGGTAAAGGTTGTACTCTGCAGACGCAAACAGTAGATCATGTTTGGTGCCGTTTGATTCAAATACAGTGTAGAAAGACGATGGGTGCAAAGAATGGCTGTGGGCTGACCGTATATCTTTGAAAGACTAATTCATTGGTGATACGGACTCTGTTTTTCGCGCGTTCTTTCTGTATCTTGGCGATATATAAAAAAACCTGTAACGTCTAATGTGATTTACTAAAAAGATCACTGACAAGAAAGTACCAGCACTAAGTATACAGTAGTTTTAGTATAAGGCGGAGCTGTCTCCACTGCATAGGATGTAGACTCGACAATGAAGATGAAGAAAACGCAAGCTGAAGGTATAGTCTATGTAGTACATATCTGTGTATCCTTACGAATGGTACAGTAACAACATTAGACGCATGAAGACTGGTAAGTGTGATTTGTATCTGTCAATAACAAAACGTATATAGTGAGCTCACCGCTATGTATCAGCGAACGGACGCTTATTAGCTTGATCAATAGAAACACGTATTTCTTGTCGATAGCAAAGACACTTTTAGGAACAAAATACCATTTTGGCCATTTTATCTCTTTTGTTTTGAGGACATAGTAATATGCCAAAGTGTCTGTGTCCAGCATAGTAAGGTATCATACGATTAGAGTAGGGAAAGGTGTGATCAGACATTGAAAAAAATAAAATGGTGGCAAACGCTCCGCATCTTTTGACCTGTTTTATACATATCTTATCTCTTGCGCATAATTTTTCGTGGAAAGAAAGCATACTACTCTGAGAACTTTATTGCGTTAGAGTGTTAAATAGATAAGCAAAACATGCTTATACTGCTATAATGAAAAAGAAAATGATTTTGCCGAGGAATCTAGTTTCATCACTATCAAACGATTACAATGTGTAAAATAGGTATTAACGACGCCATCGGGTCGATGCGCAGATAGAGGAGAAAATAAGGCAGATGTCCTTTTCAGATCCGGCATCACATCATCGGCGCGATAAAAGGAAAACCGCTGACTATCACATACTTGTACTTCTACTACAGCGATAGAGTTAGTATTACACTCGGAGCTCTAAATTCTGATGGTTGCGCACTTGCGATCCGACACAACATTACATATCGCGTCAAAAAGAGTCATCGAAGCTGTGATTGTAATTGGTACTGAGCTGCACCTTCCATACTAGCAAATACAATTGGATGGGTGGCAACCTAAATGGGACGCATCAAAGCATTGCAACTATGCTTCGCATGCACGACGGAAAAGAAAAGAAGAATGAACAACGCAGGTGAGCGAAGAAAAACAGAAAAATGCAACCTTGCACTTGATTCTTTTCTTCGCTCCTGATGGCACTCGGAGATGAGAACGAAATGAATCGAAGAGTAACCTTCGTCGTACTCCCAAAAACCTTGTACATATGCTTGATATGGATTATCACATTATTCCAAGAGTCGAAAGATAGAGGAAAAAGAAGCAACAACAACGATGATTATGGTACTACGTCTGTTTAAATGGGTAAAATATCCTTTCCGGTCCGTAGCTTTTCTGTATTCATCTTCTGGGAAAAAAGTAAAGCGAAACGGAACCGGAAACAGGCGATCCTAAAAAAGGAGAAAACTAACGAAATAGGAAGGTATCTGTGGAAGTATACCGCATGCCTCTACAAAAGAACTGAACCTTGTATTACCCTCGTTTTAGGAACGTTGTACTATGCCCACCCGGCCAATGGACAGTCCTAATAAGGCGAATTATAGACCGAAAAGTATTAACCGATAATAAAAAGCCTGACTCGATACGGTTATTTAGAGCAAAATTGTCAGAATTTCACCTATCAATGCTTGTGCAACAGTAATGCACGGCAGCAACAAGCTTTTTTCTTGTCTGTGTCTGCCCCTTGCAGCCCCATTAGGGAGAGCCCTATGGGAAAATGTGATGATTGATAAAAACTTGCCTATCTGCTGCAACCAATGCATCGACTATAAATACTAGGCGGACTAAGCAAAAAAAGGAACTTTTTGTTTTCCTTCATCCCCTCCCCTCCCCTCCCCTCCTCTCTACCTCAAGTGTACCTTTGCTACTTTACTCTTAATTCGCGGTCGTCGCACAGCACATAGTCATCTTACACAGATAATTGGGATCAACAATCCACAACAGCCACCATGGACTTGAAAACGAAGCATGAAGTTGTTCAGGAAAAGAGCATCGACAAATCGAGCATTGTGAACGAAAAGTACAGCGACACTTACGATGTCGAGCCGATCGCCGCCCACATCGAGGACGACGAGGACTCTCCCATCGAAGAAGTCAGACTTGTCGTGCCAAAGTAAGCTGTCCCAGCCATCTCCTTCTTTCCTTTGATCTTTACAGAATAATATACAGTGGAAGCACTTATTAAGACAACGAATATTTTTCTTTCAGCACGGATGATCCGACCTTGCCCGTCTATACATTCCGTATGTGGTTACTCGCCATAATTTTTACCGCACTGCTTGCATTCGTCAACCAGTTCTTCTGGTACCGTAAGAATGCTATGGTAAGTCTTGGTTTAATTTCCAGATCTCAATGAATGAAAATGATGAAGCGCAAGCACTGACATATGCCGTGACGCGTGTCACCAGACTTTGACCCCGCTGATTATTCAATTGGTCAGCTATCCGTTTGCCAAGTTTATGGAGAAGGTTATCCCCAAATCCCGCTTTTTCAACCCGGGCCCGTTCAACATGAAAGAGCATGTATTGATCACAGTCATGGCCAACTGCAGTTACGTTACTGCCTACTCCATCGATGTCATAACCATCCAGAAGCTCTGGTACGACCAAGATATCGGTTGGGGAGGTGGTTTGCTTCTCACTTGGACTACTCAGGTAAAATAATAGTAGTATATGATCAACTACTTGCATAAATCGAAACAGCAGCAATGTTGCTTACGAGACTATACACCTCATGTGTACAGCTTATTGGCTACGGTATGGCCGGCCTTGTCCGAAAATTCTTGGTGTATCCTCCAAGCATGGTATGGCCTACCAACTTGGCCAACATCTCGCTTTTCCGAACATTCCACGTTCCTGAAGGGTAAGTTGTTGTATATACTCTTCACTGAATTGTGTTGAATGCTAAATCATAGTACTTGTTTTTTCTAGTGAATCTTGGACCGGCCCAACCCGCCTTCGATGGTTCAGCTACTGTTTCGTTGGCATGTTTGTGTAAGTACAGTTGCCAAATGTATAGTAGGAGAGTTTAATGAAGCCGACCAACAACTTTAATTTATCTTCTATCGTAGATACTATTGGTTGCCCGGTTACTTCTTCCAGATCCTCACGTTCTTCAGCTGGGCGTGCTGGATTAACAAAGATAACCGCGTCTTGGCTCAACTTACCGGAGGTTACAGTGGCCTCGGCATGCTGGCCGTGTCATTCGACTGGTCCACTATTGTATCATATTTGCTTTCTCCTCTCGTTGTACCCTGGTGGTGCATTGCCAACATTACCGTTGGTTTCATTGTTATTGCATGGGTCATAGTACCTGCTCTTTACTACACAAACGTCTGGGACGCACAAAAATTCCCCATCATTACCTCTTCTCTATTCACCAAGGATGGCGAACTCTGGGACAACAATATGGTGCTGACTCCAGAGAATACATTGAACGAAACTGCTTACGAGGAATACGGTCCCATGTACATGAGCAGTTTCTTTGCCTTTACGTACGGCATTGGTTTTGCTGGCCTGACCGCCGTCTTGTCGCACACTGCATTGTATCACGGCAAGGATATCATCCAACAATACAAGCGCTCGCGCAATGAAGATATGGATATTCACGGAAAGCTCATGCGCGCTTATCCCGAAGTGCCTCACTGGTGGTATGGCGCCTTGTTCTTGATAGCATTCGGCGTTTCCTTTGCTGTGCTGTATTGCTGGCCCATGCAGCTCCCATGGTGGGGTATGTTCCTTGCCATGGCTCTCGCCGGTATCTTTGTCTTGCCAATCGGCATTGTTCAAGCCCTCAGCAACCGTGAGTTAATTGTTTCTCCTTTTCTGTTAAAGAGATTTGAATATAACATTGGAAGGGTGCTCATTTTTCTTGATGTTTTTGTTTGCCAAATCTTTTAGAGCAACCTGGCTTGAACGTTATTACCGAGTTCATCATCGGCTTTGCTCTCCCCGGTCGTCCCATTGCCAATGTCACGTAAGTAGCATTAGGTTTTGAATTTTCGAGCGGCAGTTCCATTAATACGATGTAATTTTCTTTTCAAATAATAGATTCAAGACCTATGGTTACATTTCCATGTTTCAGGTATAAAATTATAAGCAGACTAATCGATAATACATAGAAAGCTAGATTTGTTGCTAACGTTATCGTATTTACGTAGGCTTTGACGTTTACAAGCGATTTGAAACTTGGCCATTATACCAAGATCCCTCCCAAGGCCATGTTTTATGTTCAAGTCGTTGGCACTTTGCTCGGTGGTTTGATGAACCTTGTTACAGCACGCTGGCTCATGGATTCCGTGCCTAATATTTGTACTGAGGAAGCCTATCCATTCACCTGCCCTTCCGCACACACTTTCTACTCTGCATCGATCATCTGGGGTACCATCAGTCCAGCCAAGATGTTTGGCAATGAATCTGTCTATAGCTCGATGCTGTGGTTCTTTTTAATTGGTTTCTTGCTTCCTGTTCCATTCTGGCTCGCCCACAAGAAGTTCCCTCAAGTTCAATGGCTTAAATATGTCCATATTCCTTTGATCTTGAACGCCACAGGAATGATGCCTCCCGCCGTTCCGCTCAACTTTTCCGCATGGTGCGCTGCTGGGTTTGTCTTTATGTTCTGGCTTCGCCGATACCGTCACGAGTGGTGGTCCAAGTATAATTACATTACTTCTGCTGCTTTTGATTCAGGCGTTGCTATTTCCGCCCTGATCATCTTTGGCGTTGTCATGGGATCCGGTTACACCCCAGATTGGTGGGGTAATGGAAATGCTGCCAACTGGGGTGCTTATTCCACTTTTGACAATTGTCCACTAGCAGGAGCGAACGCATCGAACATTTGTGCTGAATGCTAAAATGTATGTGGTACAGTAGCTTTAATATATTAATGTCCTCTTTTCTTCTTTTGTTTACATTATGTAATCATGTATATCTATGTAGTGTATGTACACCATACGCCCGTTAAATATAAATCTGTATTTATTAAATAGCCCTTGTAAAAACTTTCACTTGCTTCATGCATTATGCTGTGTTATAAATTACCGTTAATTTCTGGGAGAAAAGATGCCAGTACTACGGGGAATTGGGACATGGAAGAATATGAGATAACATCTAATGATCCGGATGAGAAAACTTCATGAAAGGTATGTGTTTTCACAATGATTTACAGTAAGAATTTCTCGAAAGATTTCATCAGCAGGCGCACGATGGCGGATGTGCCCCAGGTTGTGGTAGAAAACAAAGAGATCAGCGACCTGCATAATGCGGAGACGCCGGTGCTTGTCGTTACTGATGGTGGGTGCCTAGATACAGTTCAAAAGGTAGATGTAATGCGGTTGTAGCTGAGAGGCTATCAGAAAGCCTATATTCAAATGGGATTCGATCGGTGGCCTTATACAAAAGGTATACCATTTGGCTAGGTTCTAAAGGCATGTTGCGAGCTGCGGCGAAACCCGAAGGAAAGCGCGGATCCACATAGGTTGTTGAAGACAGCTAGTATATGATGACATAGACAAGCGGTAGTATTTAATAACGCGGGTAATAGGTGAAAAGTCGGTTCGAGCCAACGCACCCGCAGAGCACTGTGGTTAATTTTGGTTCTGGTTATTTATAAGGTAAATAACCAGAATTAACCAGAACCAGAATTGACCAGTAATCACCAGCAGGACCATAAATAACCAGATTTCACCAGTGAAAACCAGGAACACGAACAATCAGAATTCATCAGAAAGAATAAAACCATAAAAGACCAGATAGCATCAGAATACAAATAACCATATAGTACCAGATTTCATCAGAATAAAAGAAACCAAGAACAACCAGGAAATGCTATTTAACTTCTGAGCGGTTTTATGATAGTGTAGCTATTTATTTCTAGCTATTTCTGTTTATATTCAATAACGCGAGGCGTTCTTCTTGTTGTGTGATTGATCGTACAATAATGCACTGTTAAGGATGAGGGACAAGAGAGGCGGATATATTATAAAGTCATATCTATATACATTCGTGCATAATCCATGTGGTATTGACAATGAATTAACTGCTATTGCTATGGTTGGTCATTCTTCAGCTTATCAAAACACTTAGAGTTATGAATGCCGTGCCGTTTTCGACTTGCGGCCACGCGAAATCGGTGTTGTTCGTTTTTTTTCCCTTACCGCCTCTTTCTTGTTGCTTATCTTTTGGCGGCGTCTTTTGTTGTTGGCTACATTTATAAAGCAGTCTCAAGCAAAAACGAAAAGGCAAGGTAATAAATGACTTTTCTCATTGCCTTTGCGTTTCTTTACGCGAGTTGCCGTCATCGTCGCCACTTTTGGTAAAGTTTCGCCACGCTTGACGTATGATGCATATCACCTTAAACCGACAAAATTTTCGAATTTTTTTGAAATCTTACTACTTCCTTGGACACATAGTCTTCTACTTTTAACTTTACGAACCATATGAAGTAGCATCTTTAGAATATAATTCGTGGAAGAGATTCACGTCAATCGTTCTTTTGAACACGCAGAAGAGTTCAAAAGAAGAGGATGTTAAGCGGAGTCAGCCCCAAATTGCAGCACTTTTCTATAGCACTGGTTGCCATATACAGTTAGCCTTTTTCCCTTTATTGAATAACCAACAAAGAGCAGCGTTCTCAACAATCATATAATTTTGTTACTATTTCGCTATCTCTTATAGCTTATATTGTGTTGAAGTTCGCTCACCCGTTGCTCCATCGGTATACTATCAGAGATACTAAAAGGATACTCAAGTTTAGAGTAAAGTCACTTCAAGCCCTTTCAAGAGCAGTAAGTAGTAAAGGTTGGAGCATCTGCTGTCTTGTTTGTTTGTGGATTACATTGTGGATATGATAATACATGATGCATGCTTCGCTGCCAGGATATTTTCCCACAACGGCCACAGTGACAGCAGCGAGCCAACGACCCCATGTGTGATAAAGCAACTCTAAATTGAATCAGATTAAATAGGGTTACTAGTGACTAGAAGTCCGTGTAGCTCATACTATAAGCTTGTTATATGTGTATTCTGAAGACGAACGCGAGACTACATAGTCAAGAAAAATGATGAGAGGTGGGCCTATTTGTTTACAGGGCGTTTAAGTAAACATTATCCAAGTGTACAATGCGTCAGTGCTATGTACGGTACCAGGTCTAAGCCATTTTTGGAATCGGGACTTGAAAAATGAAATTGCAACAAAATAAAATTTTGTCGGTTTAAGGTGATATGCATCATACAAAATGACGAGCACCCCAATGGTTGACGCAACGGTCCAATGGTACTCTAGCATGTTTTACAGCAAGCTGCTCTACCTCGTTGATGTATTTATCAACCAAGGATTGCTTGATCAATTTCAACGGAATTTTTTTGCCTCTTCTCTGCTCTTCTCTGGAGCACGGAAGTTCATCTTTCAATCTTGATATGGCTCCTTGACGACGCTTTTTGTCAGCATATCCATTGGCGATGGTTAACTCGGCAGCTGCTCCCTCCAATCCACCTGATTGCTGTATAACCAGGTGCATGACATGCTCCTTCTTGATATTATGTGTCTTAGGCTCCTTTATCCAATCGACCGTGCTATTGGCTGTAGTTGCTGCCTCTTCAACTGGTTGCTGCTGGCTGTTATTTGATTTCAACACCTCCAATATCTCAGCGCAGATCACTTCTATACGCTGCTGACGTTCATCAAGTTCGTCTATGCGGCTACATAAGACTGAATACTGGTCTTGTTCATTGAGTACCATGGGCTCGTCCAAGGATGATTCGTAGTCTTGTGTGTACATCGTTCGTGGTTCTACGGGTTGAAAATGAGAAAGAAATGTAGAAAAAAGGGGCACATAACTCAAGAGAATTGGCATCAATTAAAATATGTATGCAAATGCAGGTACACGCATTTAGTCATAGGACGTGCGTACTAAATAAAAATATAATAAAACTGATTGAAGGGTATTGTTTCTTTAACTTCTCAACATGATTTGCCCAAAGTGCACTCTAAATTTATACCAAAAACAAACATTATGCCGAAATGCGAACTTGCTTAAGCCCACCAACAATAATAGCCGACAAGAAAGCTCTACACCACCAAATGCTACAAGCTTAAATAATCTACAACAGCAGACCGCTTTTATTCTGACATTGTGCATCACAATGAACCTGTTTATAATAGTAGCAAAACAATATATATGGATGTCGATGAAGAACAGATAAGCTTACTTGACGATAGTGGTTCATCCAGAGAAAGCGACACCAGCGATGATCTGGCCTTTGATATGGACGACTTTTGCGCAGAAGTAGACAACAACTCTAGCAATAACGAATCAAGGATATCAATGACAATACCATCTTCCATGATGTTTCTAATTCGACATCCATACCTGAAAATGTCATACGTGACATGCGCCTTTGGCGTATCATGCAAAGGTTCAATGTTCCAAGAGCATGCTACGAAAATGCACGCTGACAAACCCGCTTAAGTTGAGTATACTTTACAAGAAATTACCAGAAATAACCAGGGTGACCGATCTGGTTTTCTTGCAGTTTTTTTTGTATCTGTAATAAAACTAGAAATAATTATATTTAACAATCCCACTAGTCGTTGTCACCAGATTCAACCAGATTTCACCAATATCCACCAGACCAGAATTAACCAAATTTTTTCCCACAGTGAGAGTGTGTTGTTGTAAAATTGGGTCTAACAAGCCAACCCTCCATGGTGTCGCGGTTGATAGAGTTTATCAAAGCTGATACGCGGAATCATGCGTGTCATCGTAGTTTGGTGAAAAACGCAGACGCAGTAACTCCAATTGACCCGAAGCACAAGCCAAGTACGTGACAAAATGAAGGAGTTGAGCACCGTTGCTTGTTTACATACAGATTGTTGACACAGATTGTTGACGAAAAGCATGCTTTTGGCAAGACGTTCAAATTGTATGATAGCAAATAAAGTTTCTAAAATGTGTTCAGTTGGATAGGGGAGCTTGCAAGGGGAAACTCCAGTTAGATTACGGAATTGCCATGACTATGATCATGAGGCAGTCATAATCTAGCAGCTGATAACTCGGTGGTAAGGAAGAGGATGGCAGATTGGGCGCTCACGTTGGTGATGAAGGGAAGCCCAGTTGTTAAGATAATGTGACGCATGATGAAAATCTATTCGACCGCACGGTAAAAAGTCGCTATGTTATGTGATATCCATGCATTAACAGTACCCGAGGAAGAACTGAGCGTCATGTAGAGAGATTCTATCATAAGCTGGCCTATCCGCTTGCAAGTGGCAGGTATCGAGTACAAAGGGTTGTTCTCCTTGCCATACGAGCCAGTGGCGATGCCCCAAAACATCTTCTCAAGGCAAGAGAACACGTCCATGATATGCATGGGGAGAAGGTGCAATCATACAAGACACTTGCCGTTGTGGGTGCCCTAGAACAACCCGAATCTACAACCGGTATGTATAGTGTGCGGATGCCACACTAGTATCTACATAACTAGATACAAATCTCATTAAGCTATAATGGTTCTGCGCTCGATTTAGCTAAGTTTAAAAGTAGTTTTATTATAGCAGGAATATCGCCTCCACAGAAGAGCAATTGCGCTTTGACTTTGACAGTGCTGTTACCCGCGAGTTGTACGGTGTTGCCTAGAAAAGTATATTCAGTTTTAGGGCCAGGGGTGACGCTACTCCGCAACGTATGTATTTCTTTGCTCTTTGTGGATGTAGGGAAAGAGATGGGAACGGTGACGTGGGCGAGAGTCATGGACAAGAATCTGCCACCAGGAAGTGTAAAAGCACTACATCTTCCTTCCATAATCTTTTTGTAAAATCTGTATACGATGGTTACATGCAATCTTACAGTAAATCTTACAACTACTATACTCACCATCTCAAACTGCATACCTGCCCTACAAGGAAACCGCACTAGAGATGATAATATCTCTTGGTATTGCATTCAAAATATTGAGAATATTAAATTTCCTAACAATATATGATTTCTGAGGAACCTCACAGGATCATTGCGGCTCGAGATGATGCTAAATGTCACCGATTTTGGATATCGAAGGCATCCCGACGATGAGCCATTATCGAACCACCTCCAACATCTACAGAAGCCGCCAATCGCCGAACGACCAATATTACTTATTAACGTTACAACACGCAGATGCCGACAATTAAAACGTATCAATACCTAAGCCAACAAGTCACCAAAGCAACAGTGGCTATGGCACTGCTCCGACAACTAGGCATTCTTTCATCACAGTACCGGTCTCCGGTCAGTATTACGTATTACTACCGCACCTTTGTCTGACCCAAGACTTCGAAGTGGTCTTGCTATCACAGCTCCCTCAACCACACAAACTCACTAACTTACACAACAAGCGCAGCAGGGCTGTATAAAAATGATACTCAACCACATCGCTGACACCATATCGCCCATTATTGTCCCAATGGTGCTTTCCGACCTACCATCCATCCATACGCTTCAACTATATTCACCACCCATTTGCAACTACTCCCAGTATCCACGTTGGCACGCTCCATTGAACTTTTCTTCTTCTGGGAGAAGGGCGACCAACAATGGTGACTTTTGATCTGACCTTAAACAATCCCTTTCGTCAGTTTTATACCAAGTTAAAACATGATGCCAACCCTCCCAAAGACCTTATTCAGGGGACATTGCTCAAAAGCGCGATGAGTTGAGTGGGAAGACCCACAAAACCTTTTGCTGCCTCTATCATAACCTGCCAAAACGGTAGATGTGTGGTTGCTCCAGGTCAGTGTATGTATGAGATTGTGAGTAGACGGGTATCGCATTGAAAAAAGGCTCCAGGGGATAACCGTCATCAACACGATATGAAGCGCATTCCAGATCCTTCATCATCTGGGAAGTGTGATCGGTTTAAAAAACGCTGAATACAAGTATCTACGTATTCACTATGCAAAATACAGGAGTATCCAAGATCTCATGTGACATGACGATCCCGCTCTTGCTGATGTTCCGTTTGGTGGAAAAGTCATGGCCTTTGGTGATGACTTTCGCCAGGTATCCACAATTGTATCCTCTCTTGTACTTTGCGTTCTTTTACTATAGAGCGGTAGTACATACAGTAAAGTATCTGCATCAAAACCTGATAAGAGGTCCTTCCTGTGATACCAAAAGCTTCGCGCTCGCAGATCGTACAGCAGTGCTTAAATCGTTCATGGATTTGGCCCAGCGTCATCATCCACCACCTTGAAACCAACATGCGAGTCCAACAAGCTGCAAACACCAATGACGCAAACGACCTTCGCGAGTTTGCGCAATACAGTATTTACTTCGCATTGGTGATGGTGCTGAGCTGTTGGTGCCAACCACTGATGACAGAGTGCGGCTTCTGTATCGAATGCTCATGCCATATTACAACACGTACGAGCTCATAGAACCATTTACGTAACCTCAACGAACCACGCGTGGATCCTTATCAGTCGCTCCATCTTGACTCCAAAGAATGTCGACGTTACATCAATCAATGATTTGGTACTCGGCCATTTCCCAGGCACTGTAAATGTAATCCGGAGCGCTGATACCGTGGAAGATCCAGTACATCAAAGCACATGCTCACCAGAGCTTCTACATTCCATGAATCCATCCAATCTCCCACCGCACTTGCTAAAAACCCAAGTCGGTTGCCCAGTCATGCTTTTGCGAAATTTGCACACCCAAAGTGGTCTCTGCGATGAGACACGGCTGATTGTACGCTCTTTCCAGCGATATGTACTTGAAGCTGAAATAGCCACTGGATCTCATACCGGCGACATCGTCTTATCCTCTGCATATCAGTAATACCATCACAACCCCCATTCAGTTTAAACGCACGCACTTCTGTGCTCGCCTGGCTTTTCCAATGACCATCTGTAAGACATAGGCTCAAACCCTTAACAGTGTTGGCCTCTACTTCCTTGAACCTCCTTTCACCCATTATTTACAGATGGGTGGAACAGTTACAATTAGAAGAGTTTGGAAGTAAGTGTAAATACATACAGTTTTTATTTTAAAGGAATGAAGGGAAGGCGTCCTGCTATTAGTTGTCTAACCAATTATAATCTACTAGCTGTAATATAGATAATAAAATTGCTATGATCGGTATAACCATCAGTGGCCGAATTAATTATTGATTTACAATAAAAATAATAAAAATTGAATTTTTTTATTTATATTGGTAGCCTCCCACGAGAAAAAAAAGAGCGATTGTTTAAAGTACATAACAACAAATAAAAATGAACACAACACAACACACTGAACAACTCGATATTGAAATTAAAAATTTAATTGATAATAAATGGACTTTTCTTGATAAATCTTGGCCTGAAATGCAACATAGATTTAATCATAGAACAGCTATTAAAGATATGAAGAATAATACAATAAATGATATAAAGGATGTATTACTTAATAGATTTGGATTTATACCTGTATTTTATTTTCTTACAGTTTTATATAGAAATATTGAATATCCAGGGCCATACCGCGAGTAGGGATCCTCATCAGAACCGTGGAACCGGAACCGAACCGAACCGGAACCGTAAAAACACGGTTCGGTTCCTATCAAGAACCGAACCGGAACCGAACCGACATTTTCTACGTAGAACCGAAGAACCGAAGACTACATGGTGCTTTTAATGATTTCATGATTAACACAATGAGTGACTAGAATTTAAACTAAAGAAGCAAAAGACCATTCACAAAACGTCGAAGATATATTTTGTTTCCCAAAGAGACCCTGTATATAAAGGTCTGATCTTTATTTTGTTGCACGGACGGTATATCAAGACGAAGGGAACAAAAAGGAAGTAGAAAATGAAGAGCGGAGGGGAGGAAGGGGCAGGAAAAAAAGGTAGTGGGAAAGCAGAAAGAGGAAGCAAAGAAAGAGAAAGCAAAGAGGGGGAAAAAGGGCAGAAGAAAAAGGAGCACGGAAAAAAAAGGAAGGACTAATCGTCGAAGTCAAAGGAGCACCATGAATCTAGAAGCATCAAACGTTCGATGCTTTCCGGTTGGAGGCGATTGCGCGTGTACGGCAGTAACAGTCGACTTCGTGAAAAGCACCGTTCTGAGGGTGTTGAAGTGACCGGAACCGCCAAGTACTGCGCTGCCATTGCTGCCAAATTGGGCCACTGTGGCTGGGATTTCCAGTAGTTCAAGACCGGCGATCCTTGCCCCTCCTGGCTTGGTTCTGGTCTTCTTAACCGTTCTTCCAAGTAATCGTCCAATTCGTCGCCGCTCGTTGATGTTCTGTATAGATCGTACAGCTTTTGCACCTCTTCATTCACCTCCGGCCGCATAGCAACGTCCTTGGGGAATGCAGCCCAGGCTCGGTGCACCATATTTTGGCTCATGACTTGGTACTCGGGTTCCCATCCAGCTTGGCGCCACCAAGAAAACTTCATCCGAGGATCCATCGCCGTTGCAATGGCGTATACGTCCGTGTCATCGACCTTGCAGTAGTATTTTCGAAGCTTTTCCAGGCCGCGTCTTGCTGC